AGATATTTGTAGTATATTTTGTTGTAGGGAATTATACTTATAGTTAATTTAAGAAAGTTTAAGGATGATTCTTTAAAGAAACAATTACGAAATGCTTTAAACATATAATGAGAAATATAAACCAAAGATCCCCTTCACGCTTGGAATTCCAAAAGCCCTTTTGGCCCGGACCTATCCCATTTGGTGACAAGCCTTTGCCAGAGATCCACGACCTAAATGATGCATCTGATGATGCTGCTGATGCTGCCTGCTGCTGATTTATGAAGCTTTGACATTTTCTCGAGTACAGTTAGCAGGGAAAGAGCGGGGGCTTGGTGGGGGTAGGGGAAAGGGGTCTTGAGATGGCAACAATAAAATCCAGTTAGCATCCAAATTGACCGATCAGCAGCAGCAGCAGCAGCAGCAGCAGCATCAGCAGCATCCAAGGCAGCATCAGCAGAATAACAAGTTGCGAATTATGACGACTGGTTTTATTGCGCAACTCGAGTGCCGCCTGGCTCCGATGGGTGGACAAGTGGATAACCACAGATACATCTGCAAATATCTGTGGGGCATATATCAAGCACACACTTTGGCCATATCCAGCCACTGGTCTTACACTCCAAGCTGGGGTGTGCAATTTGCAACCGCTAAGAATGCCAACAGGAATTCTTCAGCGAGGACCGGTTGATCGGGGAATAGAATTGGGGCGAGCGACTTTCGTTGATTGCGGTGGCAGTGATAATTATTGTTGCACTTCCCCTAGAATTTATAGATGCACTTGAAAAAAAGTCCAGGGGTTTTTAATCTCTCTAAAACTTACCACTACCCGCAGAGCCCAACAACTACATGTCCTTCGGCATTTCGCCGAACAGGAACATCAGCCAGATGATCGGCGCCGATGCTGTGGTGGCCTGGGTGGATCCCCAAACGGGCAATGGCTTTGCCACGGATTACTTCCTGGAGGGCAAGGCCCAGTGCTCCGGAGGACGTGGTGCCTGTCCCGATACCAAGATCTCTGAGAAAACCAATTCCATTCGATTGTTGAATGCAGCCATGGTTAATGGTTACTCGATTGTCACCTATCAACGCTCTCTGGCCGCTACGGATCGTCTGGATTTGCCCATTTCCATCACGGAGGCAGAGTCGGTGGTCTGGGCCATTGGACCACTCAATGACTACAAGGAGGTTTCCTTCCACACGTTCTACAACAAGCATTTGCATCAGATTGAATTTGGACGCCAGCCCAAATGGAATTGTCCCCTGCCCGAAGGTGCTCGTCCCAATGGCAACTCCTCCGAACAGGAGGACTCTGCTCCCGCAGCTCAGAGTTCGACGGGTGGTGCTGGATATCCCCCAGCTGGGAGACCCAATGTTGAGCCCGAGGAGGAGTTCTATGAGAATCGGGCGGAGGCACTGCATCGACAGCCGCCACAAAGGCGTCAGGAAACGGCTATTATTACGCAAAGGAGACCTGTGCCCACGCCAAAGCCTGTTGCCAACAGCAATGGTGCCTGGGACATACCAGCTATTCAGTGTCACGAACCAGAGGATGGCGTATTCTATGCCCAGATGGGTCCCACGGGAGGAAAGCATGGTTATCCAGCCATCACCGGTGAGTATTGCATTATATATAACTCTCATAAATATCTAAAGTCCTGAATCTTTTTAGGTCACGTTGGCTGGGGCATTTCCTGGTACATTAATGGCCTCTTGATTCCCGAGATCCATGTGGTACGTGGCAGGACTTACACCTTTGTGGTGGAGGGAGGCAACAACCCGGACATTCCGGCCAAGTATCATCCCTTCTACATCAGTGATGATCCTGTGGGAGGATACGAGCACAAGCGCGAGGAGGAGAAGAAGGTGAGAAACCTTAAAAAACATGAAGGAATCTTTTCAATCAAATCGCTCCCTTTGCAGGCCGTTCGAATCTTTGCTGGCGTTCATCGCTCTCGATCCGGCCAGGTAACGCCTACTGGCGTTGGTCGTCTCTGCAACTGGACACCGGATGTGGAGGGTCCACCAGCGGATGACTATCAATCCTTTGGCGCCTACCAGCGCACCCTGACGCTCAAGTGTGATGCCGGTGAGCCTGGCGTGATCAGTTGGAAGCCGGACAGGAATACGCCCGATACTGTGTACTATCACTGCTTCACCCATCGTTACCTCGGCTGGAAGATCCATGTACATGATGCCTGCGACTCAGAGGCGTCACCGGGACTGAAGGGATCCGCCTCCGAGCGGCACGAGATCCGACTGCCCGCGGAGGCTGCGGAGCCGGCGCCCGTGCACGACGACTATGCCGGAGAAGCGTCGGTGCGGCATGAAACCAAGGTCAGCGCCAACGATAATTTTTTATTGAAGCACCAAACCGATTTGATTAAGAACCACAATATGAACGGAACACCGCCCAAACTGAGCTTTGAAATAACGAAATCTTCGGAAATAACCAAACTGATTTCAGATGGCATCCGCGCTGCTGAGGCTCTCGAGGAGAGCTTACTGAGGAACCCGAATCTGAATCCCCATCCCCACCAGAACCAGAACCTGAACCCGAAACTCAACCTGAACCTGAACCTGAAACCGAACGTGACCCCGAATGAGATCAGCTCGCGACCTGAGATTTTGCTGGGCGAGACCCATGCCCACAAGCTGAATGCATCTCCATCCGCATCCCCATCAGCACCGTCACCTCCCTCCCTCAAGTTGCCTGTTTTTGCGACTGGTCCCCATCTCATCCATCATTCCCCGCACCAACTGCACCGCCTGCATCACCATCCGCAGCATGCCCCCCATTCCATCCATTTGCATCATCACAATCTAACCGCTAATCTTCCAGCGCTGGCCCAGAAAACCATCGGCCTCTCCGAGTTTCTGCGTCCGCCCCAGAATGCTCCTCTCTTTCATCCGGTGAAGCTGCCCGGTCGTCGTCCCTTCCCCGCTCCCATCAAGAAGGTGCCAGCCTCGCGGCCCATCCTTCCTCAGCAGCATCCGCACTTGCATTCGCATCCTGCGGCTATCCTGCAGCAGCCTTCCCTGATCGTGAATCACTATCGGAAGCCGGTGCCGGGTCTGCTGAAGCCCTTCGTTAAAGAAAAACCCTTTCCCCTGCAACCTTTGGCCGCTTCCGTTTTGCTCCTTGGACAGCCCACAGAATTGGGATTAAACCAACCGCAGGGAGACAGACTCAAGCCGAAGAGTAAACCTAAAATTCCAGTTCCCTACGTCGACCAAGAGCCCCAGAATTCCCATCAGAATTCTGCTTTCTTTGGCCAGCCAGGCAAGGGGGAGCGGGATGCCAAGCCCAAGGCTACACCCAGTTCCACTTCAGCGCCCAGCTCCACCACAGTCACGCCCTTGGTGAAACGTATCCCGGTGAAGGAACCTTCCCGCGAGGAAATCGCCAAGATGCGTCCGGCTGTAAATCAGGGCTTCAAACCCGACACAGTGATCGTGGAGAGTGGCTTCCGTCCAATCATGAGAACCGATGGCACTGGCGTTCAGTTGCCCAAAGAAATTATTGACCAGGTAGCTCATCGTCGTGAAGATCCCGGCACCGAGATCGACGAGGTAATGGAAACGGATACGCTCTTTTTGACCGCTCAGCAGGGCGGAAGTGAGACCCAGAGCTTCGAGCCCATGTTTATACCCTCGCCCCTGGACAGTACCAATGCATCAAAGTATCTGAAGGTGAAGATCAAGGAGGTTACCCCGACGGCCTCGGCCTTGAGATTACCCTCGGCAGCGCTAGAACACGCCCTGCCCTCCGCTTCCGAGCTAAGAAAGCCCACTTTGGATGAACTGTTCGGTGAGGATATTGCCCATAATGATGATCTGGAGGAAAAGGAGCTGGAGCAGGAGCGTTTTCCAAGCGAAGTAGATGAAGAGTCAGCCGAGGGCACCACCAAGAAAGTAATCCCAACCACTCCAAAGGAAACAACAACTCGTAAGCCGGAACATGAATTCCTGGAAGACCTTTTCGGACCCGACGAAGACGACCTTTATGCCGATGAGATGGAGCCCGAAATGGAGGCTGCGGAGCGTGTGGACACCTACTACCTGCCGCCAGACAACCGAAAGATTCCCCATGCCAGCCTGCCCAGTGGAGCGCTCTACACCTTCGATGGCAAGTCGGTGGTGGACAGCAGCCTGGTACTGCCACCCAAGCTGGATGCCCCCGACAACGGCGTTCACGTGCGACACACCACCTATGGTCTGACACCGCTGGAGCAACTAGTTCGCACTACGCCTCAGTTTGGAGCCTATCGCGGAGAGTTGCCAGAAGAGTTCCGAGCCACTGAGCCCCAACCATCGACGGATTATCCCCGCCCAGCTCCATTTAGTCGAACTTCGACCACATTGTCAGGATTCTCCAGCAGCAGCAGCAGTGGCAGCACCATCTATCCGTACTCCTCATCGCCCGGAACATCCACATCCACAACCATATCAACATCGCAATCGTCATCATCGCCATTGTCCTCATCCTCGCTGAGACCCATCTCCACCAAGCTGCAACTGCTGAAGCCAGTTGATGGTAGGAGGAGCGCGTAGGATCGCAGGATCGGCAATAGCGAAATTATACAAGAAGCTAGCATTTAACCGCCTTTGGGATGTACTCATATCCACGTTACATTTACTCGTACACCTGTATTAGCCGTAGTTTTCCCCTTAACAATTATGATGCTCTTAATTTTAAATGAACGCATGAATTTTATTAGCTAAGCTAAACGATTGTGTTTAAGCCGCATTTTAGTCGTTGTGAAATAAAAACCAAGAATTAATCTGAAAATAGGTTGTCATTACCTTTAAAATTAACGAAGGTACAAAAAATTAATTAATGAATATTCTAGTTATGGCAGGTAAAACTCTTAAATTCAAAACAACTCTAAAAAGCAAATCATTAAAATTTGAATTGAAGCGGTAACAGACTGTAAAGTTATCGATAACTCACATGTTAACTTAAGTGGAACCATTTTTCTCAAATTTTAGGATAAATTTAAGTTTTTCCAAAGAAAAGCGCTTCGGTCACACTGTTCTTGCTCTCTGTTTTTGTTGCTGAATTGTCAAGTTTTCTAATTGTAAAACAATTATATTATGTCGGCGCAATACCAGCGCTTTTTGCGAGTACTTGAAAAGTGGCCAGCGGAGAAATCGAAAGTCGGCAGGTGAGCATTGTGATATTAACGAACAACACACCTGCACACATAAACAATGTTCGTTCTGGGCGGCCACTGAAGATTATCTAATATGTGGAAATTCGTTTTATTTGTATTAAAATGCGATTGCCATGCATTGCAATGTGAGTTTTGATTGTGGTTTATTAGATTAGCTTCGTATTATGCAAACATTAAGTTATTTTTTTAGATATCCAAGGTGTTTTTATCTGCCGGCGCCAAGCCGCATGGGTTCCAACAGCTGTTCTTGTCAGGTTGTGGAACGTGTTCTGCTGTGGATCGTAATTACTTGAACTTGGCTTCCAGAGCCTTACATGGCCCTCATTGTCTTACCTGGTTTCCAAACGTGTAGACATTGTGTTAATTAAAATTGTGTTAAAGATGGCTTCAAAGTTTTCTTATCAGCTGGAACCGCAGGAATTCATTCTGGGCCGTCATGGTGCTGAGATTTTGTAAGCCTCCTTATTAATACTTGGTTTCCACATCAAAATATTTAAATTTTTGCTAGGATTTACTGAAAATAAGTAATCTTTGGATAATTAGTAGAAAACTTGTTCTGCATTCCAAAGGTTTCTCAACAATTATCATCATTTCGCCTGATCTGTAGTTGATTTTATCTTACTTTGGGTTTCGTTATAAATTATAAAGCTTATTCAATTAAAATATGATAAACAGTGGGATTACTTCATGGCAGTTTTCAATTTCACCCCCCAATCAAACCTGACACAGTAACAGCTTCTAAAAAGAGCCAATGATCTGCCAGCAGAGCTGCTTGGAACGAACATCAGCCACAAAAACACAAACACACACACATCCTCACTCCATAAGCCACTGCAAATAACTTTTCTCTCCTCTAAAGGGATCTCGGCGAGCAGATCCGCAAACAGGTGACTAAGCTCACCAGTCTTGAGAGCGGAGCAACTGAAAAGGAGCTGGAACGCCAGATTACTGCCCTCGAAAGGCTGTCCAACAACGTGTACGCCAAGAAATATCCCCGCATCCACGAATCGACAGCAACTGGCTTGACGGCAGCCCAGTGCAGTCAGGTATTGAGCTCAGAGTTCCTGCAGTATATCAACGAGGGAGCTGGCTCCAAAAGGAAGTAACCAAGATGATGAAGCGACTCTTAATACCCACTAGACTGAGACTGGAATGGTTAAGACAAAACTCTGTTGCTGCAGAGGCGGCTGTAAGTCCTCCCCATGTACCTGTTTTATGCGACACCGCCATCGAATATCTGGAACCCGTTCCCGGAGGCACATACTTTGACATGACCTTTGGAGCTGGTGGACATACACGACGACTCTTAGAGAAGTGTCCAGAGGCGAAAATCTTTGCCCTTGATCGGGATCCTGTGGCACATAAATTAGCCAAAGAGATGAGCGAGTCAAAGGAGTACAAGGGAAGAGTGATTCCCCTTCTGGGAAAATTCTCCGACATACCAAAGCTATTCCAAGAACATGGCTTGGCCAAACACTCGGTGGATGGGATACTCTTCGATTTCGGCTGCAGTTCCATGCAGTTTGACGAGGCAGAGCGTGGATTCGCCATCTCCAAGGACGGTCCGTTGGATATGCGCATGGATGGAGGGCTAAGCGAAGGAGTAACTGCTGCCGATGTGCTGGCACATGTGGAGGAGGGAGATCTTGCCAAGATCCTGCGTTACTACGGTGAGGAGAAGGCGGCTAAGAAGATAGCCAGGGGATTGATAGACGCACGCAAGTCGCTGGTAAAGATTCAGACTACGTGGCAGCTAGCGGATATAGTAGAGGATATTCTGGGCAGTGGACCCCGAAGAGATAAGCTTCAAAGGCCATCTCATTCGGCCACCAAAACGTTCCAAGCCCTCCGCATTTTTGTGAATAATGAGCTTAATGAAATCAACTATGGCATGGTGTTGGCCAACGAAATACTCCGTTCGGAAGGTCGTTTGGTTACCATTACTTTTCACTCTCTGGAGGACACCATTGTTAAGCGTCACATCAACGGAAATGTCCAAGCTGGAGCCGCCAATGCCCTGCCTCTCAAATATTCGAGTCACTTTGCCATAGACGATCCAGAGGTGTTGGAAAGCCTTACCCAGTCCAATTGGATGCAGCTCCATCGCCATGTCATTGTGCCAGATGCCGAAGAGGTGGCCAAGAATACGCGCAGCCGTTCCGCCAAGCTGAGAGCAGCCGTCAAAATAAACTAATAGCAATTTCAATAAATTTCGCCGGTCTAGTGTTCCCTCTCTAAGTCTTTTGTCTCTCTTTGCTCTCTGTATCGGTTTTGCTCCGCTTATCTATCCAACCAATTGGCACTTACTGATAAGACGGGTTTATCTATTTACCGGAGTTATTTGTGGCCCTCGTGCAGAATTTGTTTGGGCTCGAGGCAATTTTTTGTTATTGTTATTTTGATTAGGAAATGAATGTTAATTGTCAGGTAGTTGAGCTACAGTGGGTTCGATTTGGATTTTTGTTTGGTAAAAAACATAGAGAACTTGAGTAGGAGCTTGAAATTTTCCATCTATAATAAATTGTTTTAATAATATTAATGAAATATATATAATATATAAATATTTATTAATATTTTCAATTATTTGCGACTGCTTTATTCTTATATTTTCATAAATAGTACATATTATTATTTTCTTTTATATTATTGATTTCTTTTTGAGTTTCTTCGAAATCAATATATTTTATTACTCTATTCCGCCATTATCTCCATGGTACAATGTATACTTTTATGATCTTGTTGAACTTTTGATAACTGCTTCAAGTGCTCCCCATATCAGTAACATATTGATTTGATATGGAAATCACTTTTGCCAGCTATTTTCCACGATCGAGAAGCCATGGATATGTATGTATATATGTTCCCTCTTTCAACTTTTCAAACATTTTGCGGTTGTTTTCCACGGAGAGATTGGAGATCATGTTGTGGCTCGCATACGTCAGCCGGTGTTGTGTTATTTACGGTTGCCAATCGAAAGATGTTGTGACCCGCGAGAAACCCGAAACCGATAATCTGTAGCAGGGCGGCTGATAAGGGAGCGGGATTAGCTGTCGGAGAGAGGGGCTGACCGGCGCACCTAGGCTATAGATAGGAGCGCTCGGCGGCCGCTCTGCTCAGTTGCATTGCGCGATCCGAGTTGGCGTGGAGCTGAGGAGCTGGCATTGGGTTTCCAGTTTAAAATACTTTACGGAGCTACCTTTACGTTTCAGCGGAGTGCGGACAGCAGAGCCGGCGGTCAAGATGAGCGAGGCCAAGATCATATCAGGCACAGCGGTGGCCAAGTGAGTGGTATATCTCAGGACTCAGATCTCAAACTATATACTCAATATCCCCCCATTCCCATTTGCAGATCCATTCGCGAGGAGCTGCAAAATGAGGTGACAGCTATGGGTAGGACCTCGGCGAACTTTGTGCCCGGACTGAGGATCGTTCAGGTGGGCGGACGTGAGGACTCCAATGTCTACATCCGTATGAAAATCAAGGCGGCCACCGAAATTGGCATCGAAGCTGTCCACGTTAAGCTGCCCCGATCCATCACCGAGGTGGAGCTGCTCGATAAGGTGAGTGAGGGATTATGCAACTACCGACCGATGGGGAAACGAATAAAAATGATTGAATTTTGCTTTGCAGATCAACGAGCTGAACGATGATCCTAGCGTCCATGGAATCATTGTGCAGATGCCCTTGGATTGCGATACCGCCATCGATTCGCATCGGATTACGGATGCCGTGTCCCCCGAAAAGGATGTCGACGGCCTGCATACGGTCAACGAGGGTCGCTTGGCCATCGGTGATCAGGGTGGATTCTTGCCCTGCACGCCCTGGGGCTGTTTGGAGCTGATCCGTCGCAGCGGAGTGGAGATAGCCGGTGCACGGGCAGTTGTCCTGGGTCGCAGCAAGATCGTGGGAACCCCCGCTGCCGAACTGCTCAAGTGGGCCAATGCCACGGTGACGGTTTGCCACTCGAAGACCCGCAATATTGACGAGATTACCCGAAGTGCAGATATCCTTGTGGTTGGCATTGGTGTGCCTGAGATGGTCAAGGGATCGTGGATCAAGCCTGGAGCCGTGGTCATTGATTGTGGCATCAATGTGAAGCCAGGTAAGATAAGTTTTAAACATTTTCCCATTTCTCTCTTTCGGCTGCCAAGACTTTCTCTTAAATTTTTCGAAATATTTCCATTTGTTTTTACGGTTCCCCGTCTATCGCTTATCAATGGACTCGACCTCTCCGGGGTGGAACTCCTAACCCCCTGCTGAGATAAGAAATGATTTTGTTTTGAAACACTTTTGGTTTGAGACTTAGTTAGGGAACAGCACTTGATGGCAACGAACAAACCGATCTTGAAACTGATTATGACGTTCCACGACTAATCCCTATTAAATCCTTGTAGACCCCACAAAATCCAGTGGCACGCGGCTTGTGGGAGACGTAGATTACGAGGAAGCCAAGCTGGTGGCTGGATATATTACGCCAGTGCCCGGCGGCGTGGGACCCATGACAGTGGCCATGCTGATGAAGAACACCGTGCGATCGGCGGCCCGAGCTCTGGAGCGTCATTTAAGTACCCAATGGAGCCTGCAGCCACTGCCCATTCAGCCCCTCCGTCCAGTGCCCAGTGACATAGTGATTGCCCGTGCCCAAAAACCTAAGGATATTGCTTGGCTGGCCAAGGAGATTGGCTTGGAGGCGCGAGAGGTTTCCTTGTATGGCAGCAAAAAGGCCAAGATTTCGCTCTCGGTCCTGGAGCGACTGGCGGATAAGGAGGCGGGCAACTATGTTGTGGTGGCCGGCATGACGCCAACACCTTTGGGAGAGGGTAAGACCACCACGTTGATGGGCTTGGTCCAGGCTTTGGGAGCTCACAAGCTGAGAAACACCATGGCAGCCTTAAGACAACCCTCCCAGGGACCCACATTCGGCATCAAGGGCGGAGCCGCTGGCGGTGGCTATGCACAGGTGATACCCATGGAGGAGTTTAATCTTCATCTAACGGGCGATATCCATGCGGTGTCTGCGGCCAATAATTTGCTGGCTGCCCAGTTGGACACTCGCATCTTCCACGAGAATACGCAGAAGGATCAGGCTCTGTATGAGCGATTGGTTCCCCGGGTGAAGGGAGTCCGGAAGTTCAGTGCCATTCAGCTGCGACGTCTGCAGAAACTAGGCATCACCAAGACGGATCCCGACTCACTCTCCGCGGAGGAGTATGGTTCCTTTGCCCGCCTGGACATCGATCCGGAGACCATCATGTGGGAGCGTGTGGTCGATATCAATGATAGGTACCTGCGCACCATAACCGTTGGCCAATCGGCCACCGAGAAGGGGTTCTCTAGGGAGACCCGCTTCTCCATCTCGGTAGCCAGTGAGATCATGGCCGTTCTGGCACTATCCCGATGCCTGGAGGACATGAAGCAGCGGCTGGCCGATATGGTGGTGGCCTTTGACAAGGCGGGCAAACCCGTAACTGCCGATGACCTAGGTGTAACTGGCGCCTTGGCTGTTCTCCTCAAGGACGCTCTGGAACCGAACCTGATGCAGTCCCTTGAGGGTACTCCTGTCCTGGTTCATGCCGGACCGTTCGCCAATATAGCCCACGGTTGCAACTCCATTATTGCCGACGAAATCGGCCTGAAGCTGGTGGGCAAAGATGGCTTCGTTTGCACAGAGGCTGGATTCGGTTCGGACATTGGCATGGAGAAGTTCTGCAATATCAAGTGCCGCACTTCCGGACGCAAGCCCAATGCCATGGTGCTGGTGGCCACTGTTAGGGCTATCAAGATGCACGGTGGTGGAGCACCGGTCACTCCCGGAGCCCCCTTGAACAAGCAGTACACTGAAGAGAATCTAGAACTGGTGCAGCAGGGTCTGCCCAATCTTCTGCAGCACATCTCCAATGGCAGAGCCTTCGGCATGCCCGTCGTGGTGAGCCTGAATGCCCACTCAGCGGACACGCCCGCAGAGCACGAGCTGATAAAGAAGGCGGCGTTGGAGGCTGGCGCTTTTGCCGCTGTGGTCTCCTCCCACTGGTCGGACGGAGGAGCTGGTGCCGTAGAGCTTGCCGACGCTGTGATCAAGGCCTGCGAGAAGGGAAACAATTTCAAACTGCTTTATGACCTGGATCTGCCGCTTGTGGACAAGATGAACAAGATCGCTACCACAATGTATGGAGCTGGCAGCGTGGTCCTCACACCGGCGGCTGAGGAGAAGGTTAAGCGGCTGACCCAGGCGGTAAGTCAAGTGAATTCTCTGGAATTATTCTTGTTACTAATTTTTATTTCATTCTGGCTCCTGTTTAGGGCTTTGGTAATCTGCCCATCTGTATGTCTAAGGTTTCGGGTTCATTGACGGGCGATGCCAAGATCAAGGGTGCCCCGAAAAATTTCTCCCTGAACGTAGAGGATGTGTACGTTTCCGCCGGTGCAGGATTTGTGGTGGCCATGTGTGGAGAGGTCACCAAAATGCCGGGACTCCCCACCCGCCCAGCCATCTATGACATTGATCTGAACACGAAGACCGGAGAAATCGAGGGTCTGTTTTAAACTAAACTTTCAAGACAAGGGAAATGCCTCATTCCTGCTGATTCCAAAAATGTTTACACATTTTTAAATGCATTCTTTTTTAGTCTAACATCTGATCTTGGCTTTCTATCTAGATATAAGTTTAAAGATATTTAACAAGTTTTCGAGTTCGGCCTAAAACAATTGCATATTATTTTTTTATGAATGTTTTTATTCGGATAAATGTTTTACCAAGTTGAGAATGGAATTGTTTGCAAATGTAGTGGAATTGTATTAGAAATGTTGCGAATCTAGATGAATATCATGGTTTGGTCGATGCTCTACTGATGCGATGAGAGGGGGAAAGACTAACTGAGTCACCTTCGACCTTGCGCATGTTGCCCATAACCTTAAAGTAACGAGCAACAATCTGATCCACCCTAGGCCGAACAAATGTCTTTGTCAACTCCTGCTCTGCACGCGAGACTACATTGGTGATCAGACCTCCGGATTTAAAGAACTCAATGATCCCACTTCGCTTCACCCACTTGGCAATACGTTTATATCCCACAGGCTTAACCACCTGTCTTATGCTGTAAAAGTGTTCGTAATGCTCGTTCATCTTGCGGATCTGGACCCAATTCATTTTCGGAATCTCTATTAACGGTTGCCTGAATACGCGGTACGGATCGAACTCTTCAGAAAAGTTTAAAAAGCGTACAGAAGGCCAATTCAGGGACAGTATGGTGTTGTACATGTGCTTGGGATGTCCCAGAATTCCGTGAGCGACATCGATCAAACAGAGCTGAGACGCGGGCACAATATATTCCAGTTCCATCTCAGCAATGCGAATGTCAGTGCCTCGGTACTTGCGCTTTCCTATCCACAGAATGGGCAGATCCTCCGTTGGAACGAGCTTTAACTCTTGAATCAAAGGCGATTCCTGAGCACGATAGTTGACGTTCTTCTTGTTCCTGCCGTAGAGGAGACTGCGCTCTATTGGCGAGAAAACGGGATATTCGTCGTGGGCTGGCACGAAATGGTCGGAGCGAAAAAGCCGATTCATCTCCATTTCGATGACGAAGTACGCCCGGCGGTGCATGGAGATCCAGACTATTTGGATGAGAATGGCCAGGATTTTCTCGTGAAAGAACTTGTCACCGATCGTATCGGAGAGTTTGACGACCATGTTCAGATGGTAGAACTTGGCCATGTTGTCTTTGTCTTGTAAGATCTCACAGTAGTTGCGGGCCACCAGCATGCGATACTGAGACAAGTATACGGACAAGGTGCGTTTCATGTCACTGGTCTGCTCACTCTGCGTCTGGGCCATCTGGCCCGAGACCTCATCGCGACGAATCATCACGAACTCAACCATGCGCAGGTAATGCTCAAAGTATATAATAAGGGAGTGGACCAGTTGATCCACCTGCGGTTGGTGCAAAAATTCGACTAATTTGTAAGTCAGAAAATTGGGTGGCATCAAATAAAGGACCAAATCTATTATATCTGAAATTATAACCATATCACCGTCAAACGTGTTCTTGTCCCGCATATACTCCTGCCGGAAGATGAGTTCCTCCTCCTGGTCCATGGTTCGCAAGAACCTGAAACCGTTGGTAACGATGTATCGTTCCCTTACGTTTTCTAGATCGTTGTGCGGCTCGAAGTGGAGGGAATCCTTGTTCGAGTCCCATGACCACGTGCCGCTATAGTATTTCGGAACGTAGTTATCCACATGTATGCGCTTCATTGTGCTTCTGTTGAGAATTCAGGGAAGGATTCGGTGTGGTATTGTAGTGTTGCGAGTGTTATTGTATTGATGTTCACGCGACGAAGTCTAGTTGGATTGTGACTTTCCCTGTTTGTTGCAGGTTTAACCTATTTTGACATAGGATACAAAGCTGTTGCGATAGAAACTTTGGTGGCATCGAAGTTAGCTCTATACAATACGTAGCTAAGCCCATTAAATATATTTGAATGCATTCGATTAACATTAGAAAAGTGTGCAAATCATTTACCAATCTTGGAGCTTAAAGACCAACTATGTGTCTATTCAGGATCAAAACTTTATGAATATATATTTATATAGAGATACATAATTATGCAGATGTGATAAAATTGCAGTAACAAAATTTTAGCGATGATAAATACCACTTTTTCGAGAATAAGCACTGCCCGCATAACTAATTGTATCTGCGTCAACTTTTCCATCATCTTTGCGTTTTTTAGACATATCTGCGATGTAATTGGACACAATCTGATCGAATCTTGGCCCAGTGGATTTACTAGCCAATTCCTTCTCGCAGCGCGAGACTACGTTGGTGAGCAAACGTCCGGATCGGTATAACTTAATGGTTGCTTTGCGCCTCAACCACTTGCATATATGAAAATGACTGCAAGGATCGAAAACATGTAGAAGATCATAGAACTGATCATACTTCTCACTCATCTTGCGCATCTTGAGCTCATCTAGTTTGGGAATCTGTAGATTAGGTTGTCTGATGATGTGGTACGGATCGAACTCCTCTGAAAAGTTTGAGTAGCGCACAGAAGGCCAATCCAGCTGCAGAAGAGTGTTGTACAGGTACTTCGGATGTCCCAGAATGCCATGGGCGATATCGATCAAACAGAGCTGTGTTCCGGGCACAATATATTCCAGTTCCATCTCAGCAATGCGAATGTCGTTGCCTCGGTACTTTCGCTTCCCAATCCACAGTATGGGCAGATCCTCTGCAGGAACGAGCTTTAACTCCTGAACCAAAGGCGATTCCTGAGAACGATAGTTGACGTTCTTGTTATTCCTACCGTATAGAAAACTACGCTCCGTTGCCGAAAAGACAGGATACTTGTCGTGGGCAGGCAAGAAATGCTCGGAGCGAAACAGCCGATTCATCTCCATTTCGATGACAAAGTACGCCCGGCGATACATGCAGATCCAGATTATTTGGACGAGAACGGCAAGAAATTTCTCGTGAAAGTGCTTATCGCCGGTAGTGTCCGAGAGTTTGACGATCATGTTCAGATGGTAGAACTTGGCCATGTTGTCTTGGTCTTGTAAGATCTCACAGTAGTTGCGGGCCACCAGCATGCGATACTGGGACAAATAGACGGACAAGGTGCACTTCATGTCATTGGTTTGCTCACTCTGCATCTGGGCCATCTGGCCCGAGATTTCATCGCGACGAATCATCACGAACTCAACCATGCGCAAGTAGTACTCAAAGTATATAATAAGTGAGTGGATCAGTTCTTCCACCTGGGGCTGGTGCAAAAAATCAATGAACTTGTACGATAGAAACTCATCTGGCATCACGTAGAGAACCAAGTCACGTATATCAGATATGGACACGACGTCGGCGGCAAAGCTGGACGGAGGACGCATAAATTCCTGCCGGTAGATGAGTTCCTCCTCCTGGTCGATGGTTCGCAAAAACTTGACCCCGTTGGTGGTGATATACCGCTCTCTGGCGTTTTCTAGATCGTTGTGCGGCTGAAAGTTGAGGCAATCCTTTTCTGAATCCCATGACCATTTGCCGCTTTTGTACTTGGGCACATAGTTATCCTTATGAATGCGCTGCATGACGATTAGTATGGAAAATTCGAATATATGGGTTGTAAAAGGTGTAATATTCAGTATAAAGGATTGTAAAAGTTTTCACTAGTTTCAGGTCTCGTATATGTATATTTGTTTGGGCAAAACTTTTTGTAGACTTTCGGTTTGACAGGAATTCGCATACTATAGGGGGCGGGGTCAAAAATTGTATATTTGTATTGAAATGTATATGAAACCCAATACCAAAAGATTTGTGCAAAGAACTCTTGTCTTATAATAATTACAAAATGATATACACTCCACTAGAACTCCGTAGCATTCAACCTAATGTCATTATTCAGTGTTAAACCAAACATAGACTCTTTTATAAAATAAACACTTGGCGAGCTGGCGTCCGGGGCACGTTGTGTGGTAGCTGTGAGCCAGCATGTTTCGGCGCAACATCGCCCATCCGGTCATTCGGCAGTTTATCCTACGCACCGCAGTACTCAATCATCTGGGCAAGTGTCTGCAGAAGCAATGGAACGACTGGAGTCGCCTGAACGCCCAGCTCACCAAAAAAAGATCCCTTAAGGACATGGAATCTCTGGGTGAGGAGACCCGGCAGACACTCGCCGAGTTACAGGCGAAGGCGGACGCCTCGCATCGCCTATTGCAGCGGGAGTACAACGAGCTCTTCACTTACATGATGGACAAACGCGAGATGTGGATAGTCCCGAGTACTTTAAGGCCAAGACGGCTCTAGGGGCGGCTAACCACAACCTGCGTAAGTTTGTACCCAAGAAACGAATGGACTGAAGGGAGACTTGCCAACGACTGATACGACCATTCCATTCCATACTAAATATATATATATGTGTACGTACAGAGCAATGGATCCAAACAGCGGTTTAACTATTTGTAGAAGGGAATCTCCACGCGTCCGGACTTTGTGTTGACCGCCTCCCAGCAGGTGCAGGCGAAGGTAGAACGATCCATGTGATCAGTGTAAAGCTTTCCATCCAGGTGATCCATCTCGTGCTGAGCAATTCTGGCATTCCAGCCGCTCAGCTCCAGTTCACCTTGTGCTCCGCTTTGGTTCAGTCCGGCAAGTTTCACACCCTCGAATCGCTCTACCTCCGCGGAGAATCCTCGAACACTCATACAGCCCTCGGGATGTTTCAGTTTTGTGTAGTTGGTCACCGTCAGTACTGGATTGATGAAGACCTGAAGAGTAATATGTTTGGATATATTGGCTTGTGTTGTTTTTGAGAGGTTCATCGTCCAGCTCACCGTCAGTGGCAGCTCGGACATCTGGCGGGACTGGTACACCGTCTCTGGTAACGTCTTCCTGATCTCCCCTTTAAATTCCATGGCTATGATTCTAAGGGAAACTCCGATTTGGGGCGCCGCAATCCCCACACAATCGAACTTTCTAAGAACTTTGACCATCTGCTCCACTATGGCTTCAATCTCTGGCCCGCCTATGTGTTCCTGTGGCACCAAGGCAGCCTGTTGCCGCAACACCGGGTCCCCGATTTGAGTGAAATGATTGTAGGGCGGCAGGTTCGTTCGTTCCGTTGTCCACAGTTGCTGGTACCACTTCCGAAAGGACTGACTGGTTACAGGACTTGTGCCCAGGCAGCGTCGGTTTATCACTATTGATTTGCATAGTTTTATCTGGTAATTTAGCAGCATTTTGTGTAATGTTTTGGTTTTAACCTCTATTTTTTTTCCCGAACAGCTGACCGGCCGGCAGCGGATAGGAATCGACAATCGTATATCGATAGCAAGGATTTCTGTTTGGCGCCTTTCGATAACCCCAAAAAATTAATGAACTTAATTTGAAATTCAAAATAAATTACAAACTATTTGTATATTCTTGCATTTATATAGTTTTGATTTATTCAAAAACACAGAATCTTTTTTTTTTTTTATCAATTTTATTAAAGATACAGAAAAACTGGCAATCTAAACACATAGTTCAAAGTTTAATAAAAATCTTAAGCGATACAACCGCAAGGGGTTTCTCCATTTCCTTCAGCGTGTTTACTTGTGGAACCAAATGGCGGAGCGACCCTCGGCGGCGTTAATCTGCTCCCAGCTGACGCAGTTGAAGGTGGACACATCCATGCGGTCCACGTAGATAGTTCCATTCAGGTGATCCATCTCGTGCTGGGCTATACGCGCACTCCATCCCTCGAGCTCCATCTCGGAGGGGGTGCCCAGCTTTCCGATGCCCCGAATACGGACCTTATCGTACCGCTCCACCTGAGCGGAATAGCCTCGCACGCTCATACAGCCTTCGGGATGCTTGTTTACCTGGCTGCTGATTATCTCCACCTCCGGATTAACGTATACCTGCATGCATATGATTTATGGTGAGAAAAACTAACTACAGATAGTGGGATGCACTTGGAAAATGATAACTTGTTCTATTTATATTATACAAAGTATAACAGAAGCTACTCAAAATAAGATTTCTTGGCATGCCCTAATTTTCTTGGAATAATTTAAGCCCTATTACTTGCTTTTTTTGTAAATATTTGTTTATTACTATAGCTCCACTTACCACCAGGGGTAGTGTGGACATTTTTCGCTCCTCGTAAATCTCCGGCTTAAATTGATCCTTTTTGCCCTCGCGGAACTCCATGGCTATAATGCGCAGCGGTATTCCCACCTGAGGCGCTGCCACGCCTACGCAATCATAGTGACGTAACACCTTCACCATACGATCCACGATCTGATCGACCTCCAGGCTATCAATCTCTTCCGGAGCAACTTCTTCGGCCACTTGGCGCAGCACAGGATCTCCTATCTGAGTGAAGTAATTGTACGGAGGAGTAGCCATGATTCCGGTTACAAGATGAGTCTCTCAACTGAATAACGTTGCTCGGTACACTGGCTGTGGGAGCTGCCTTCGGGGTGAGCAGATGTCGAAGCGATAACCTTATCTTTGGAACAGCTGATCTGGCTATGTTAAGAGTAGGAACGATAGCTACACGTTCCGGAAACTGATTCGCACTTTTTCAATTTGAATGCAACTTTCACATTTCAATTGTAATTTTAAATTCTGAATATTTTTATTTAGGAGTTCCCAAGTACTGCAGCTTGTTGTTAACAATAATTTTGAAATATTTCCAAACAGAAGTTCCAATAACTTAATCGAAGTAGTATTCGAGCTGACCCTTTTTGTGTCTTTGCTGAACAAGGCTTCCAACGCGGGAAGACGTAATACTGACCAGGTCCTCGGCGTAGGGTGATCCCTTGCGGAGCCTGTACATAACCTTAAAGTAGTTGGCAATAATTTGGTCCACCGTGAGACCAGGAGTCGTATCGTTCATCTCCTTCTCGCACCTGGACACGATGTTGGTGAGCAGCAATCCGCCGGAGCGATAGAACTGAATCAACTTGTCCCGTTTGAGCCACTTTCGTAGAATTGCCATGCTGTGAGGCTCATAGATGCGGTATACCTTGAAGAAGTGCTCGTAGTGTTCGCTCATCTTTCGCATCTTGAGTGCATCCATTTTAGGTATCTCCAAGTATGGCTGTCGAACGATATTGTATGGATCGAACTGGGGGGAGAAGTTCGAGTACCGAACGGTGGGCCAGTCCAAATCCAGGATGGTATTATATAGAGCCTTCAGATGGGAATGCAAAAAAGTGTCAGTGATCGATACAATTTAAAGAGCATTGATTTAACTATAGATACCTTGGGATGTCCAAGGATACCATGAGCCACATCGATCATACGCAGCTGTGGACCGGGGACGATGTACTCCAGCTCAATCTCTGCTATGCGGCGATCGGTGCCTCGGTACTTCCGTTCCCCGATCCACAGAATGGGCATGTCCTCTTCGGCCACGTGCTGCAATTCCTGGATAAGCGGCGATATCTGAGCCCGATAGTTCACAATCTTGTAATTCTTTCCATAGAGCAGACTCCGTTCCGCCGGCGTGAACTTGAGATACTCCGGCCGGTTCATCACAAAGTGATCGGATCGAAAGAGTCGGTTCATCTCCAATTCGATGACATAGTAAGCACGTCGATGCATGGAAATCCAAACAATCTGGATCATTACGGCCAGGAATTGCTCATAGAAGACCTTGTCGCGAGCCATGTCCGAGATGTTGACGATCTCCTTAAGGTGGTAATAATGGGCCATGTCGCCTTCGCCCTTCAAAATCACGCTGTAGTTGCGCGCCACCAGAATCCTGTACTGGCTGAGGTAGATGGAGAAGGTCTTCTTCATCTCGATGGTCTGCTCGCTCTGGATCTGGCCTGCCAATTCATCGCGTCGCACCAGGACGAACTCCACCATGCGCAGGAAGTACTCAAAGTAAATGATGAGGGCATGCATGAGCCGATGGACCGGCGGACGGTGCATGAACTCCACGAAGCGGGGTGTGAGCAACTCGCTTGGCATTAGGAAGAGCACCAAGTCACGGATGTCGTTGATAACCACAGTATCAAAATCATAGGTGCTGCTATCACGGATGTAGGCCTGCCGGAAGATGAGCTCCTCCTCCTGGTCAATAGTGCGCAGGAACTTGTAGCCATTCGTGGTGATATACCGTTCCCTGGCGTCCTCCAGATCATTGTGGGGTTCAAAGTGGAGGCTGTCCTTTTCCGTGTCCCAGGACCACTTGCCGCTGTAGTACTTGGGCGTATAGTTGTCCACATGAACCCTCTTCATGGTTTCGTCTTTATTTGTTTTTTATATTTTTGTATTAATTAGTTATTGTTTTTTTATTGTATTTTTTGTATTGGGGTTTGAGTGTTTAAGAGTTTTTGTGGAGTGAAATTTTGGATTCAAATTTGAAAATAACATGACAGAAAAATAAATTATTTAAAAGGTTGCTTTTTGTAAAATTAAAAGCATACATTTCTAAACAAAGCTTAAAATATAAAATATTATAATCGATGTTGTCCCAAAAAGCCGTTAAAAGTTCGATGACAAAGCCCGGCTTGTTGGTAGAATATCAACAAAACTGCAAAGCTTTTCATTGTTTACGGAAAGCGGATTTCCATTGGCGCGCTTTTCCTATATCGGCCTGTTGCCTCTTGAATCGCGTTGCCCCAGGTAACTGACCAGGCACAAAGCGGCCCAAACAGAGAGCGCGTTCTAACAATGTCACTAGACAGGTGAACCACCACCGTCACCACCATGTAGCACCCTGAGTGTGCTTCTGGATTACAATGGAGCGTTTAGTTCCCGGTGGACGTTCGACGGTGACAGTTGATATAGTATACTCTATATGCTAGTTGAAAAAATCCAGAATAGAACCCCATTTGGGAATGAGAAATGCGGGACAAAGTGAAAGCCTGAGCAAGTGACAAAAATCGCTCATAAATAATCCAGTGAAAATGAAAGCAAATATCAGAGTTCTAGTGATTTTCATATTTTTGGGCCTTCAAGGGAATGGCAGAGCTACGCAAAAGTCGCAGCTTGGCCAACCGCTTATACAATTAAGTCACGGTAAGTTGAGCATCCAGCAAGTGAAATTTATTTGTATTAAAACAAATGTATATATAAACTGAGGTCCGATGTGGGAGCCAAGTATTTTGACCTTTAACGCTTCCCTTGGCTTACGCATTATTTTTTTGGAATTTTGTGGTCACCATCCGGGCGAGTGAGTACATCAAAAAATTTGGGACAATCAATATGAGTTAATTGCGAAACCCAGAACTGACCCAAGTGATTCGAGCTGCCAAATCAAGGCAGGTGTACAAAGCGTTCAGGTTAATTGGCATGGCCAACACGCAAGCAAATTGTCAAGTTCCTGTTTTCCTTCATATTTTATTTTTTCGGGTCCCTGCTAATCGATAAATGTTATTCTATTGTTGTCTTTGCGGAGAAGGGGGTTAACCGATTCGAATGCAGCAAAAAACTACTTGAAAGTCAAGCATAATTTCTGCGGCGGCACAACTGCATTCGCTGCGGGAAATATATGTTGCCATTAGAGTAATTGATCAAACAAACTCGGAACTGGGAACTCGGAAATCGAATATCAAGGGGTAACCAAAAATCAAAAGGCAGTAAAGTAAAGTAAATAACAATTGATAGAAGTCCCTGATGAATCATCATACTGATTGGAATATTCACTACACCCTTAAAAACATATATAATATTTTTAGAGTTATTCTGCATTTGTAAATTTAAAAACTCAATTATTAAAAATAAAACCAACTTCCGTCTTGTTGATTTTCTATGGAAACGGGGTGAAAGTTCAAGAAACTTGCCAGGATATAATATTTATAGTGTAATGACATGACATTTTTGCAGACAACACCGATGATGATTATCCAGAAATTAAAGACGAAATTCATTTGGAGGACTTCTTTTGGACTGGCTCCGGAGATGGTCCTCCTGATTTTCTAAAGAAGGTACACACCGGCATAACCAAGGGCAAGGATGTAATTGTCAAGACGGAGACGGTGGTGGCCACGGTCTATGTAGATGGGAATAATGTAAGTTGGACTTGACTGTGCCCTAAATAAGCCGGCTCTTTAATTGCGATTGATATCTAGGAAATTGACATTCCCATTTGCATTGACTGCAAACCGGACGATGGGGGCGGCACCTGGGACATGGGTGGAGGTCCTGGGATGCCACCTCTTAACTACTCGGCCACAGATCGTCGTTACTGGCTGCTTACGGTGATGTCTGGCTTTTATACGGCCAAGGATAATCCCACGCTCGAGGAGAAGCTTGCACGTCTATATCGTCTAGCTTTTACTAGGTAAAGGTGACTTTAAATTAGCTTCATATATAATTTTAAAATATATATTAAACAGACAACAGACCCGTCACCTGGGCATAAATGGGGCCCAGCAAATCGAGGGTGTTAATGTGCCAGCACCCCGGGAACGTCGCAAGTCCCTAAGCATACCCAATGTGAGACCCGAAACTACTACGACGGGATCTCCAGCTGATGATGTGGAAATACTGGACTTGCAGGATGAGGACGATGAGCACTATATTAAGAATGTTAAAAGGCTAGGCGAAGACACTGAATGGACTAATTCCGAGGAGCAGACAGACCAGGAGGAGGAGTCGCCAGAGGTAGCTTCCAATGGGGTCACCACCCCAATACCGACACCAACAGGCAGCACTGAAACAACGATGGATTATGGCGCATACGTTACCCTGATCCCATGGGAGCTTTTGCAGCAGAATGGGAAATCGGAAAAGTTGCGGGAAATGCACGAGTCCTTGTTGACTAAGCAACCGCTACAGGAACTACAGGAGCAGCAGGAGAGGCAGAAACAGGAGCAGCTCCAACAACAACAGCAACCTCTTTATAGGAACGAGCACGTCAGAGTTGTCATACACAACCTAACGCAAATTAGCGAGGCGGATGTGCAAAAGTGGAGCACGAACACGCAGGCGGAGGACACGGAGGACATCAACTACGTCAACCTCAAATTGTAAGTGCCTCCACCAACTTGCCGATTTTGTTTATTATTTTGCCAATTCGATTGGGTTATTGAGTGCTTTATACACTTTAAGAGAAAATTGTATGATTGGTTTTGGGTTTATTAATATATCATAAAAAGTTACTTGAAAAATATATATTCTTGGACCTAATACAATTTATATTACTGCATATTTTACTGATCCTTTTCTTTATTATATTTGTTATTTAATAGCATAAGAAGGTTTATACATAAAGCTCCCTTGACAGGTATAAATATGATACATGGAGATTGCCTTCGATTGCTAGTTAATCTTTAGATATATTTAATTAAATAGTAAAAAGTAAAGAAGTAGAAGTATTTTAAGTTAGTTTTCGTACCCTAATAAACATTTTAAAATACTAAAATTATAAATTTCTTTTTATATAATTATTTTAGCAGCAATGACAGACCCATAGCCAACCAAACGGAGCTAATTTATACCGTGCTGGTTAATGGTCGTCCCATTTTGGCCACCACAGCAGCCAAGGATATGGAGTTGGTCAGTGAAGATGAGGCGGTCAAGACATTTGGACAGGCGGTCTATATGAAATCGGAACGTAAGCGGAAATAAAATTATATCTATTTAATATAACTATATTCAAATTTTTCCTCTTTTTATAGCTTATATAAGAGAACCTACGGCCACGGCTCTGGCACCGGTTCCACGGAGTGGCCAGGCTGGCTTCTTTAATTCTGTAAAGAATAATGTGGCTCTGGTGGTCATTAGTTCCTTGGCCATCCTTCTGCTAATGCTGCTCCTTGTGGCTGTCCTACTTCTTGGAAGAACACGAGCTCGCCAAAGGGAACTGAGTGCGGTCAACAGGTGAGTGGAAGATTATCACAAATATCTTTAATTTATTTCCTTAAAATCACCTTAAAGGAGACTAACTTAATTAAAGTTCAATTTACAGGAATTCTTCCCGCAACGAACTACTCTCCGAGGGTCAATCGATCCGACCCACAACGAGTGAAAGGACCGAAGGAGAACCAAGTCCGGATCGCCATTCCCGGGAAGTTGGAGTACGCAACTATTCGTACGATCGGGAGCCACGCATCAGTTTTCCAGCTCCACCGGCGGAGACCCGTTCCCGTCGTCGCGATTCCGTTTCCTCCTCGACGGACAACACCTCCGATTCTTCGGTTTATTGTCCCATTAATCCGCCGAGTGCCGATGTCCAGCGGATTCTGGATGACAAGGCAGCCCGCTTGTTCGATGGCCACAAAAGGCGGCATCAGTACGATCGTGCCGAGGGACATGAGGAAACGGTATACACCTCTGTGGTGTCCGAGAAAAAGGGCGACAAGTCCAGGCACAAGTCGAGAAGGCGTTATCTAAATGAGAACCGCGTGGGTTCCCTGGAGACGAGTCCCGTGCAGGGATCGCTGGCCGGTCATTCTTCCACTGAGGAAGTGGAATCCCCAGAGGTGCAGCGCCGGAGCTATGAGAACTTCCAGAGGAACGAGGCCTACAATCCGCACAACAACTATCACAGGAACAAGCTCTTGACCCAGAAGGCCGGAAGTGGTGTCGTCTCGACGGAGGCCATCAACAAGGAAATCGTTGGAAACATGTCACCGGATACTGCCAGCGTGGGCTCTTTCCTTTCAATGGCCTCCGTGAGGGCCTTCCCGAAGAGCGCTTTGCCGGAGCCACTGAATCGAGTGCTGGATCCCGTGTTCGTTACCTACTACGACAATGTGAATGCCGTGGCGCCGCACAACTCTACGCGATCGCTGAGGACCCTCTCCCAGAAGGGATCCAAGAACTCTACCATTGCTACCATAGCCAGCTTCCCGAGTCCCAAGGCACCGCGCACAGTGCGCTCAGCCTCACAAAGCGATAATCCGGATCCCGGCGTGGTCGGTCCTGTTGTCTGGGAGCGGCACAAGAAGAAGCAGAGCCAGGGTGAGCCGGGTGGCGGGAAACCAAATCCCAGTCCCAGTCCCAGTAAAAACAACAACGACGACGATGACGGTGACGATAACGCCGCCGCCGATGAGGACGATGGCGATGTGCGATTCGGCGCCAAGTCGCGTTACTAGGACAACCCGTAGTCGTTGATTAACTAACTGTTATTGCTTGCACACACCAGACCCGTAACTGACAACGTAGCTAATAGCGATTGCGACCTATGTTACCTCTCCACCAACCTGTAGTCCCTCGGCAAAGTCCGCTCCTCTATCCGTACTCAACCTCTCTCTCGAATCGATCTTCCCCAGAGGCCCTGACCTATACGGATTACCATGCGAGTCCGCTGCACAATCCCTCGGCCATCCGTAATCATTATGAGGGGCTCCTCGAGGGCGCCCTCCAGATGTACTCCAGCCAGGATGACATCCCCATGCCGCTGCCCACGCAGAATTTCACCAACAGCCGGCGGGCCACGAAGCGCGAACATAGGGGTTCCTCTGCCGGTTTGCCCAGGTGATAGAGAGGGACTTTAAAAAAGCCGAAAGAAGTTATTAAAATGTATTTACATTTTCTAGCTTCCATCCGGAATCCAGCAGCAGGATCACTTCAGATCGCCCGGCCACTGCCCAGCCGGAGAAGACCTCCAAGTCGGCGCACTCCACGCAGCCACCATCACCCACTTACAGTGCCTGGGGCGGCGGTAGCATGTATAGCTCCCATTCCACCCTGAACCGCCCTTTGAGCGCAGGTCCCATCCATCGGGTGGAGAACCGACTGGACATATCCAGTCAGGCAGCATCGGGCACGGGAACAGCGCCCCTCATTGAGGCCATACAGAGCGAGCTGCGAAAATTCAAGCAGCAGCAAGAGCAGGAGTAGTTCTCCACAATAAATGATCTTTACATATATTTGTCATGTCGATGGAATGTCATCCACAACAGCATATCTGTACCAAAAAATGTTTGCAATTCATTTAGAATAAACTTTTCTTAATACCAATGAGGTATCTCTTTAGTTGTGTTATGTTGAGCCGAAATTTATCAATATTTTAATAGACAAATTGTTCTACAAAACATAGTTTAAAAATTTCATAACTAAGCCAAAAAGAGCATTAATTTTAATTCGGAAAGCTGTTCTATGCTAATTTTTAGTAGGTTAACAAATCTGCATATCGAGATTTAAGATTTTACAAATTCAAATTTTTGTCAATTTTTTAAAGTTTTAACGATGTAACCCCTTATCATTTGTTTGGAAAATTTTTAAAAATTTTATTTTTCAACCAAACATGTTTTTATCGCCTCAACTGTTGATTCTGATCAAGAATATATATAATTTATAAGGTCGGAAATGACTTCTTCACATCGTTAGAAGCTTTTGACTAAAATTATAATACCCTTGCAAGGATACTTATACAACCCGTATTTATAATTTTTTAAATAAATTTACTTAAAGTCTTAATATCAGAGAGCATATCGAGGTACGATTTAAATAAAGATACATTTTGTAACTTTAATAAATTAGTACAAGAAAGCCATTGTGCAGGTTAGTTAATTTATTTTATTATATATTTATTTACATAATATTCGATTGCCAGTAGTAGTACAACACACAAAGACATTAAATACAAGCTCTCACCAGCCCTTGATTCAGTATTATTTTGTATATATTTGACCGAAAAACATATTTACTTATTATTTTGTATACCCATTACAATATTCAATTAGAAGCGTTCTCTTGTATATCAAAAAAATTAATTACTACGCTGTGTCTTTGTTCGGAGTGGAGTTCGAGTGGGAGTGAGTGTCTAGTTGAATTCCTTTTGTCCCTTGGCATAGGCCTTGGCGTCCACACTGCGCTTGCCGAGCCGAGGGCCAAACCACAGGCCCGAGGAGGCACTGGGTCCCGTGCGCTTATCCAGCACCTGTTGCAGGGCCAGGAGGTGGGCCCACTTGCGCAGCTCGGCATCACCGCCGCGGCCAACGCGCGGAAAGGCCACCAGACCGGTGGCTCGCTTCTGGAAATCAGCCTCTGGAAATGGTAGGTCCCCGGGCATTTAGCCAATAAATTATGACCACAACTCCAGGCAAAGGACTCACCGTTATAGTCCTCCGGGGAGGCATCACCATAAATGCCGTCGAGGACCGCGGCGTCCAGTCCGTCGCGCAGACTGTTGGCCAGACTGGGATCTCCGCGACCGACGCGGGGAAAGGCATATAGCCCCATATTGGCACCACGTCGATTCTTGTCGTGCTCCATTTCTATATATATGGATTAAGTTAAATTAATTAAATACATTGATTTAAGTTAAAAGCCTTAAAGCCCTTTCGAATATTAAAATACATTAGAGAAAGAAATTCATGCTGAGAAAAAGTTGTTCTGGAATCGTAAAAAAACAGATTTCTAGCTTGTATCTAAAAAATATTCCTAATGGTTATGTATGGTATTTAACTTCATCAAGATTTAATTAATTTATTAAAAAATCGGATACATAAGCTTTTATGCTAGAAAAACATTCCCAGAATTGATAAATTAATGTAGAATATTTGAGAAAAAGGAATATTGGTCTGGAAAAGGTTTTGGGTATTGGTTTACCTTTATCTTTCAACGTTGCTGCAAATAATGTGTAAAAACAAAATTTAAAAAAAACACACTATGAGCTTTTAAATGAATAATTATCTGTTCAATAATGTTAAAGTCCCATAAATTTTAAATTCTTAAAGACATAGAAGTTTAATATAGATCTCATATTCTTATAAAGTTACTTAAACTTCATTTTTAAAGTCTCAAAAATCAAATATACAATTTTTAAGAACCTGTTTAAGTCCTCTTAAAGCCCAATTCACTCACCTGCCGCACTGAATTCTGCAACAAGAACAAGCACTAGAATTGCGTTCAGCAAGCTGGACATACTCAGCATGGATTTCATTGCAAAACCAAACTTATTAATATTTGACACTTTTTTAGGGCTAAAATGTGAACGTGTTTCACAACTGATGATTCTCTCGGAACGGTCACTTGATTTCTGATTGTCCTGCTCAAAGTTCAGGTTCTTTTATAGGCCAGAAAAAGCGTCGGAGAGACAACCAAATAAATTGCTTCAGGGACAACGGGGCGGCTGATGAATGTTGCCGGCGCTGTGGGATGCAAATAGGTGTTGCTAGCAACAGGTTGCCCCCACCTTCCACACTGGCAACATGTTGCGGCAGTATGTTTTAGATTCGTTTATTGCTCACACAGACTATGGACCTTAAATACTAACGTAACTATGCTACTCCTTGTGAAGGAGTCTCCCTAGAGCCATCCGGAGATCATGCGTCCCGTGACCGTGGACTTTCCTCGCTCTCCGCCAGCTGCGGCGCTGCTCTGGCCCACCTTGATGGCCGGCTTTAGCGGAGCAGCTCCAGGTTTCTTATCCTTGTCATCTCCTGGCTTCTTGTCCTTGTCATCTCCTGGCTTCTTGTCCTTGTCATCTCCCGGCTTCTTGTCCTTGTCAGCTCCTGGCTTCTTGTCCTTGTCATCACCTGGCTTCTTGTCTTTGTCGTCGCCAGGTTTCTTGTCCTTTCCATCGTCTGGTTTCTTATCCTTATCCTCACCAGATTTCTTATCCTTGTCATCGCCTGGCTTCTTGTCCTTGTCATCTCCTGGCTTCTTGTCCTTATCGTCGCCAGGTTTCTTGGCATCCTGTCCGTTCTTCTTGTCATCCGGCTTGGCAGCGCCATTGGTGGCTTTCGTTCCCTCGGGAGCAGATCCCTTGGCCCCTGGTTTTAGATCGGAATCAGGCTTAGCACCCGCTGGAGCCGAGGGAGCTGCACTCTTGGCGGCTCCATTGGTGCCTGCTGGCTTGGAGCTGTCGGTTTTGGAGGAATCCTCTTTCTTGCCAGCTGCCTCCGGTTTGGCAGGTTCTCCGGATTTTGGTGCTGATGGCTTGGTATCTGCGGGCTTGGAGGGAGGAGCCGGAGCACTTGGTTTTTGCTGATCAGTTGGCTTGGCCCCAGTACCATTGGTGGCTGTCTGGGGCTTGGGAGCACCGCCACCGGGAGGTGGCTTCTGATCCCCAGGCTTGGCACCAGGAGCTCCTGGTGGCTTGGAGTCCTTGGGTGGCTGCGACTTGTTCTTGTCATCCGTTGGCTTCTTATCATCGTCCGGCTTCTTCATGGTTCCTTCTGGAGGCTTCTTATCTTTATCTTTCTCATCCACATTTTTCACAGAGGCTCTCAGGGCAGCAGCTGCCATCATGGAAGCTCCGCCACTCGGTGTTGCTTTCTTGGACTGCAAATTAAGTTTAACTTTTAAGTAAGACAAAGGAAAATAAATATAAAACTATACCCCAGAGGCATCTAGTGGTTTTTTCTCCTCCTCGCCATTGGCACCACCCTCATCATCGGCCAAGGAAACCTCATCGGCTGCCATCTTCTTTCTCATGAACTTGACGTAGGCCACTCTTGTGGCACGGGTCACTTCACCCAGGTTCGGATTGAATTCTGGTAGAGATTAGGACTAGTTTATAGAGGTTTTAATAAGGATAAACAGCTTGGTCTGACCTATCAACTGAGTCTGGTTCATCTGGAGACCTTCGTTGGCCTGCTCGATGATCTTCCTTCTCAGACTGCGTTGGCTGTGGCGCTGCATTGATGAGCGCTTGCTACCAATAGGATCCGCGGCATAGGTGTTCTTCCTGGCAATGGCATTCCAGTCCTTGTCTCTGTAATATATAATTTCAAGATAATAATTTACAATATATATAATATATAAGCACTTACCCCTTTTGAGTCTTCTTCCTGCCTATGACCTTGGCCAAAGACGAGAAGATGTCCCTTCCGTTTTCATTTTCATTCATTTCCTGCTTTAGATTCTCCACAAAACCAATCTGGAAGTCCTTCAGGATACGACGTTCCATCACCTTGCCCTTGGTGGTTCGGGCCACTCCTGAAAGTTAGTAGATTCGAACGGAGTTCCTTTATTGCATGTGAATTGCCTCATCCTCACCCTGACTCTTCTTTTCGATGTCGGGCACATCCCAACTGTTGTTCGTGAAAATCTCCAAAAGTTCGAATCTCAAAGAGCTAATGTCCTGGCGCACCTCAATGATATCATCCTCGGTAATGCCGTAATCGTCCCGCCTCCTCTGCTCCGCCGTGATGTAGCGCCGCACCAGCAGCTTCATCACTTTGTCATGCAGGACCTGTGCCCGTTCCATCGACTTGCGCTGCGCGTTGGCGTAAAAGACAAGGAAGAGAGAGAGAGAGAGAGAGAGAGAGAGAGAGAGTGGGGTTTAAAAGGATGCAGGACATTCGTGGTATTGACGCACAGCAACCTCAGCATGAGCTTGATTGAAAATGATTTTCCCTAAGATTTGTCTTGATTGCTGTGACTCTCACTGTGACTGAGCCTTAAACTCAGGGACAAAGGATATTTAAATTTAGAATTTTACCCTCACAAGCTTTAGTATTCAGTTAACTTATTTCTATAGAAATTACCAAGTGTTTATCTAAGAAATTTGTAATAATAATATGGTATTTAATATTTTTACCATAAAGCTCTTGGTTCTTGAAGGCCGCTTCCTGCCCAGAGTTTTTCTCAGCATCTTCATGTTGGGACAGAGATTGAAGGGAGGTGGAATGGTGCCGCCATCCTCGAAGTAGCTCATCCACAACTGCGAACGGGCGAACTTCCACTCCACGTCGGCTCGCTCCGAAATGATCTGGTACGAGTTAGACATCATGGCAATCAGCATGTTGAGGAGCACAATGATATTGATCACCGAATAAGAACCGAACATGAGCAGGGCCCAGAACCGGGTGAAACTCTTGATGCCAGCCAGATCGAAAGAAACGAGATCCACCAGACCGAAGGAGGCCCAGAAAAGTGACTGCGATGTTTCGAACAAGCTGAAAATATGGTGAAGTGATATGGATTGCAATAAGTTTAAATACAGAGTTATTTTTTAATCAAATACCCATCAACCTACTTGGAAAATCGTCGCCAAATGGTACAGGCCTTCTCCTGGTCATCGAAATCCGCCACATCTGGATGCAGATGATAGCACTTGTTCTTCTCCAGCTCGGCATAGTACCACAGCAGCTGATTCAGACCACAGCCAAAGGCGAACAGCACCAGGGTGTAGATGAAGAAGAACTTTATGATGTCGATTATCATCCTTCCCAGGGAAACTTGCAGAGGACCCAAATGGGGATTTATAGAGAAGATGTGCACAAGTTTCAGATACGAAAAGACCATGCCAGCTGCAAAGGCGCCCTCCGATAAAAGCATAGGATCAAAAGGATGCCAGTGCTCTCGCGGGAAGTACGGATCTATGCCTCGGAACCAGAGATCCCTCTTTAAATGTAAATTTAAAAGCATACAAATTAAAATATAATACAATTCCTCACACCCACTTACATGCACTATAACCCAAGCGGTGGCCCTACAAAGAATCCACGTCACATAGAACATATTCGATATATAGTCGACTATATTCCACAGATCCATTATATACTCAAACAGTCCGTCCGAGTACAGCGACTTGAGTTCCTCAAATATCAGAGCCATGATATAGGTTATAATAGCCAGTTCTATGGGTCCTGGTAAGGAGCCACGTTCGTGTTTACGCCAATCTTCCAGCATGGTCAGCATCCAGGGAAAGGCCAGAAGTTCAAAAGTGATCTGCACCACTCTCAAAGAGGCGGCGCCCAGGAGCACTAGAAATAAATCATATTGTTAACACTCATATGGATATATAAATCCAAAAGGTATATCTACTCAGAAAGAACATGTAGGAGCAGGAATGTGTAATGAACTTGACAAAAGGCTTGCGCATAAACTTGGCTCCATCGGAGTCCGGGGCTAGGATGTACTTCAAACTGTAGATGGGAAAGCTGCAGCCAAGTTTCACCACATCCATAAGTTGCTGCGAGGCCTGTTTGCGCCGGAAACCAGGCAGTCCGTCATACCAAATGGCAGCCAGTAATTGTTGTACATTGGGATGTGCCACAAACTATTAAGGATATATTAAAATAATAATTTATAACAAATAATGATATCTTAAAAATCTATGTAAACAGTAACCCAAAACTCACCGTCTTCTGCTTATATCGAATGGCCAGCTTCAATCGCTCCAAAGTCTGCCGCTGACCCGGACACCATATATCGTGGGATGGCTCATGGTTAAAGTTGAGCATCACCTCGAGCTCCATGGATGTGCGTGCATGGTCCAGGAGCGATGTTCCAAAATCCTGCACCATCTGACGCATCTCCTGTTGGGCAAACACAAACAAAGGTCGCATTCACAGCACTACCCATGCTTACATTGGCTACAACTACACAGTGGAGATGGTCTTGCGTACCGTGTATTCGGCACGGAATTCCGATTCCATGGCCTGCAGGCGTTTCAGTTCCCAGGACAGCTGGAAGGCGGTTAGGACAGGGTCCCGTGAGCTGAGTGCTATCAAAGAGCTGGCCGAGAGTGCCCTATAGGCGTTGATTCTCGATTGGGAGTGGCGCAGGGAGTCGGTGGTCTGCGAGGTAACGCACTCGTCACAGCCGCACCTAATGGGTACAAAAGGATCTTAATATGATTTAATTTCCATCTTAATTAATTCTCTATTTTAAAATGATAGTAATTCCCTAGCATTGAGCACTTTTTTCCCCTTAAAATCCATAACCCTGTATGAATTTCCACGCTAAGTAGTCATAAGATGATTATAATTAGAACAACCCCTCAGCTTTGGGCTTCGGAGCAGCATGAGTGCAATACGCGATGGACAAACAAAGGTACGTGCCGGACGGAGGACGAGGTGGCTCACCAGTCACAACTCTCTACTCACTTGACGTCGTGCGGCATGGGCAGCGTGGCGCCGCGATCCAGGAGTATTTTGAGTATCTCATAGTTATTCCGGTGGGCGGCCAGGATGAGGGGCGTGATGTCCACTGTAAATGTGGACTTGGAGCGGTCCACTGCCTCCCAGCTCTGGCAAGGTAACAATTATGAGTGTTCAAGTTGGGTAACCTACACACACACATGAAACCTACATAGGGCTGGCCCTCCTTGTGGTTCGTCTCCTCCCACTGCAGCAGCTCCTCCACAGCCTCCACATACTCCTCGGATATGGCATGGAGGAGAGCATCGCCCACTTCAATGTTGTTCTCCAAAAGGATCACCATCAGGTCAAAGTTCTCGTTCTCGATGGCCGAAATGAGGGCTGAGCGATTCATGGGATCGGTGCAGTTAATATTGAACTTATCCGAACCGAGATACTCCTCAAGGATCCTTTAAGGACGAAAGTGTTTAACCACAGGCAAACTAAGTAGCAGTGCTGCCAACAGCTAACAGTTCAGAACAAATAAAAGTAAAACAGGACAACAAAAGGATATGCGAAATAAAAATAAAGTATCCCGAAAAAGTTCTTGATAAAAACACAAATTTGGCAGCACTGAGTGTAAAGGACCTTGTGACCCTACTTCTTGACACCCGGAAGGTCACCACGCTCGCAGGACAATATGAAATTCTTCTCCACATCACTGAGTATGTACTCCTCGGCCATCATCAGATCGTAATCCAGGCGCGAGCCGAGAGCCTTCTCGGCATCCGATTCCGTAGTCGGCTGCATATCTTCGGTATTTATTTCTTGCTTTTTGGGAACTGGCTTTGGGAATTGGTTTCTTCACATCTCACAGCACTCCGGGGGGGCTTGAGTCCCTGCACTGCGAGTGTCCTAGCCGTAATCCTTTCGCGCACTGTATCCTTTAGTGTTCCGCCATCGCGCGATGCTTAGTCTCCGATTACCCGCACTGGACTGACCAGAAGGCGGCAGCCACCAGACGGTATATTCCACTAATTACATTAGCGCCGGACACTTGGATACTTGGAAACTCGGTCAATGTATAAGGCGAATCGCAAGTCAATGGGCCCATTTGTGGTCAAGCGGTAGGTAGTTGTGGGGCTGCCCATCCGGGAGGCAGACACCGATTTAAGCATAGGTATTTGGCCATTGCTACCCATGTTACCTGGCGGCTGCACGTGATGAGCCAGCAGCACATTTATTTTCTTCGATTTTCGAAGCCATAGCACCGAGATCGGTCGGCTTTGATGCATAAAAATCCATACTATGCAAGTGGCTGCATGGCGGAATGTGTTTTAAAAGGTAATTACTTAATTATTATTTTCTTTAGGCAAATCAAGGCACTAAGACACTAAGACTAACTAAGTGCCTCAGAGGTAAAGTATAAGTTTGTATAAAATGTTACTTAATTTTGTATTGATTTAGTAGTTATTTTAGTGTGATAATACATCTAAATTATACTGGTTCAAGTGAAGGGAAATGCTCAACATTAACACTCACACTCTAGCTCTCTATCCCTCTCTCTCTCTTTTTAGGTATGTCTGACTCTTTCTCTGTGCAGCTCTAGAGCTCGCTTTCTCTCAAACTCACTCTGCCTCCCTTTAGACTCTGCCTCTTTCTCTCTAGTGCTCTCTCTCTCACTTTCTCTGTTCTCTTTACTGGGGGACTATAAATACAGGTACTGGCCGCTGCACCGGGCTCATTCTGTTCGCGACCACGTCAGTGTTTACATCTATGGTGATAGTGATAATGATAGTGATTGCCCTCCGACCCCAAAATATGTCACCTGGCTAATGCAATACTTCTGGATAACCAGGAAGAAGCTCACCTCACCAAGAATATAACTCAACACTGGAAGGAATTAAGCAATGACGAAGAAGGATGACCGTGTGCCCTCCACTGCGGTAAGTCTTAACCATGATAATTATTTATATCATATATAAAGGTCTAGAATTAGTAGTGGTACCTATGCATTTATTTTTTGCAATTCATTCACTAAGTGCCTTTATTTTAATTTAAAGTGATACAGCATACATTATTATACATTATCATACATTATACATTATCAGACATTATTAATTTTAACTAACAACTTACCCTGACTTTGGCGCCAACTTTTGATAAATTATTTTGTATTATTTTATTATTTTTCCCTTTACAGGGTTTTGTAATTTAAATCAGCAGCTTCAAACGCAGTGAAGAAGTCATTTAGGATCCTATAAATCAAATATATATTCTTTATCAGAATCAAAAGCCCAATTTATTAAGACGTTTGGTTGAAAATTACAATTTTCAAAATTTGTCCAAAATTTAAAAAAATCATTAGGGGTTACATCGATAAATTTAAAATTTTTAAATCTTAAATCTTGATTAGTTAACCAATGAAAAACTAAGATAGAAAAGGTTTCCAAATTAAAATTAAGGCTTTTTTTATATGATACTTCCAAAATTGTGACTTACCGAAAAAATGTCTATAGCAATTAATTAATAATATTATTATTAGATTCGTTTGTTTGTGGATTTCTTAAACTTTTTATAAACAAAAACTTTATAAAATGTAATTAGATACTAAAATGTTTTACTGCCAACGACCAAATCAATAACAATAACAATTTGAATTCCTAAAAAGGTATTCAAATCTAGGCGGCATCGCTTAAATAGTAGAGAGACAAGCTTTTAAGCTTCTTGGCTAAACTCACCACACCTGTTCCCAACGGTCGGATTTATAAAAAAGAAAGAAAAACCCTATTATTATTTAGTACCTTTTCCCACTGGGTCATTGATTAAGAGATGATGATTGATTAATATTGATTACTCCCACACCAGAAAACGAGCCGAAACCTCACTGAGAGATCCCCAGCTCGTCCTTGAAACCTTGAATGTTGAATCCTGCCTGCGTACTTGAGGACGCTCGCAGGGCTTTTTGTATGTCAATGCACTTGGAAATAAATAACAGCTCCTGGCTCCTGGGGGGCAGGAAAAAGGAGCAAAGGAACAAACACTCCTCCAAGGAGCGCCCTTTGAGATGTGTGTTTGAAGGTGGAGGATTTGGGAGAGAAATGGAATGGCATGCCATGGCATGGCATCGTACGTGTTCAAGTTGTTCAGCGATTTTCAGCGGGGTTAATGCACCTTCGCTCCATAAGGAATTTCAAAATTAAAGCCAACGCTGCAGCTGGCGACTCGTTAAGTGCAGATTAATTAGTGTGGGAGAATGGAAAAATACCTGACATTTCGCAGTAAAAACGTGATGATACCTTTAGGTATTTAATTGATAAAATATTGTTTATTTCCAAAGCGTGATTATATTGTGGTTGCTCAAGCCGCAAGGAAGATGGCAAGATACCTTTTAAAATAATACATGGCATAACTTATATTTTTCTATTTCATTTGTTAAATTAACTCGATGAATCCTCTTTTTCCCAGTGCATAATATGGCCGCACTCAATGATACATTGCCCCTCAACAGAACTCCTGCCTTATTTAGCTTGACAAGAGCCCTTGTGAGTTATGTGCACAATTTTCAACGAAACGAGAATAAGGGAAAGAGCACATTTTCCTCGCTTTCCGTAGCAGGTTGCACTTTCACTGTTTCCACAATGGAGCCTGCAACATTTTACAATCTGAACTAATCTTGCCTTCTTATACATAAATGTTAGGCTCATAAAAATCAAACTCTAAAGTACTAATTTCCTTTATGGCAACCGATTAGATACGGAACTTGAGTAATAGATAATGGTTTTATGAATCGAAAGCGGTCAATAGTATTTGGTTTTTATATTTATTATAATGTCAATTGATTATGCGAATCATTGAGAACTCTGAATTTTTTTTATTTATTTGCCTTAAGTGACTAAGATAATGACATTGTAAATCGCAGTTAATCGCTTATATTTAAGACATAATTTATTGGACACTGTCTTTTGATAATGTAAATCATTTAAGAAGTTGATAGCCGCAACTACGTTGTTCATTTTTAATTTATTTATTTTTGTTTGTTTGAGTACATTTTAAGTAGGAAACTTTTGGATAGGAATAATTTATAGTTGGGCATGGAAAATATATATTTAGATAAGGAAAAGTATATATTTAGGCAAGGCAAATATACTTTTTATATATATTATATGTTTATAAAAGTATGTTTGATTTTTTAATAACAAATACTATTTGTAAATAAAATATATATTATTTTGGTCATGATAAACTTCCATAAAATAATATCGTGACTGAATCCACGAAAGAAAATATAAAAAGCTTAGGAAGTCCTCTTAAAATTGTAAATACAAAGTTAATATCCCTCATGCGTTCATTTTAATTATTGTTTTTCTGTATTGCTTTTTCTAAATCCTTCAAAAAAAACAAATACCCTCCAGACCCCAAAGAAAAACCACAGTTGCAATGCTCAAAGTTTTTTATTCAAATCTTTAGTAGGAGATGCCGGCGTTGTCCCGGATCCAGTCCAAGTAGCCAGTGACGCGGGTGAAGACGGAAGGATGTCCGGCCTGGCAGCCAGCACCGGAGACGAAGGAGGTCACTCCAACCAGACGGTTGCCGTCGTGTGTCACCAGGGGACCACCGGAGTCACCGCCGCAAGTAGACCTGCCGCCCTCGGTGTTGATGCAGATCATTTGGTCGTGCAGATTCCAGAAGCGGCTGCACTCGTCTTGGGAAATGATCTGGACATCCACAGACTGGAGCCAGTCGGGCAGCGGGCTGCCGTCGTAGGTGCCACCCCATCCGGAGGCAACGGCCCACCAGCCAGCGTAGCTCTGGTAGCGATCGTTGTAGCTGGGCAGCTCAACCTTGTTGACCAGGTTCCAGAAGTCGACGTGGGGAGTACGGATCAGGGAGATGTCGTTGTGCAGGTTGCCGCTGTTGTAGTGGTGGTGCTGGATGAAGTCACCGCTGCCAACCCAGTGGGAGTACTGGGGCTGGGTGCGGATGCTGGCGCCGTAGTTGATGGTCACACCGTTGGCTCCGTTGGTGCAGTGAGCAGCAGTCAGGACCCAGGTGTTGCCGATGATCGAGCCACCGCACCACCAGTTGCCGTTGCCGCTGAAGGTCAGGCCAACAATGTAGGGCACCTTACCCTCGTATGCCGGGTAGCCGTTGGTGATGCGTCCCTGAATGTCCTTGACGGCCACAGGGCTCAGCTTTTGCTGGGGTGCAGGGATGGCGGTAGCCGCAGCCACGGCCAAGGCCAGGAATACGAACAGTTTCATCTCGATCAAGTCTCACAACTCATAGCTTTCCATGCCGGACAGCGGTCTTATATACGAAAAGAAGAGCCCTTATCTCTACGCCTTTCACACATCGCCGAAATCTCGCTCCTTGTTTACTAGTATTTAAAACTTAAGGGCAATAAATCTCATAGAGTGAAAAATCGATAAGTCTAGTAGCAAAAGTACCTTCTCTCTGCTGAAATTATGGCTAGCACTTGAGGACTATTTGTTTTTCTTTAGTGTGTCAATATTGTTGGGAGATAGACTATGGAGTTCACTAGACTGGCAAAAGATGTACCAAAAAACCGAGAATTAAAAATAAATTCTTTTCATTACAGATGAATATATTCAGGACAGAATTTCCTGCACAAATAATTAAAAAATAATTTGTTATATTAAAATTAATTTTATTATCTTAATCTAAAATTATTTTAAAAAATATTACTCATACGCCACGTTGGCCAAATATGTTGCTATTTGAAGGTTACTTTCAAAGTTTTAAAGTTTTATTATTTAAATACTGAAACCCTGATATGTATAATAATATAAAATAATATTCTAATATTATATAATTATAATAACATAATATAATTATATCCATCGGGGTTGAAAGATTGTTTTTCATTAAAAGAAAAGCAAGAATGAAAACTATCTTTGGTTAGCCGAAGTTTTTACGCCATTGCAGTTTGAATAATAATACAATATACAATATCTAATAATATAATCGAGTCAGAAACTGATTAAAATATTTGCATTCTGTAAATGTATATTTTTATATGACAATTTTTACCATAAAATATAATGAATTTTTATTCGGAAAGCTTGCCTGTGTTAGTTTTTATTAGCCTAACAAATCTGCCAGATCTACCCAGTTTATAATTTTTTAAAATTAAAATTTATGTCAATTTTTGACATTTTTAACGTTATGATTTATATGGTCGGAAATGACACAGCTTAACCAGGCTCTGACTAAAATTATAATACCCTGAAAGGGTGTAAACATATAACAGTACTGGTGTTACTGTATTTTATGACATTCTCCCACGATAATTCACAAATATATCTGTTCGATTTATTTAAGTTGATTAAAATATAATATACATATTTTAATAATAAATTCCAGTTTCCTCCTTGATCCATTCCAAGTACTTGGTCACACGGGTGAACCCAGCCGGAGCACCCACCTGGCAGCCGCGATCGGCGACAAACGAGGTAACTCCAATCAACTTGTTACCCTCTTGGGAGACTAGTGGGCCACCAGAATCGCCCTGGCAAGTGGCCCTGCCATCGGGAGTTTCCACGCAGATGGTGTTCTCGGAGGCGGTCTCAGTTCCGTAATAAGCCTGGCACTCCGCCACGGAGATCACTTGGAGATCCACAAATCGGAGATCCTCGACCACATTGCTACCATCGTAGATGGCACCCCAGCCGGAGGCCCGAGCCCAGGACTTGTCATAAGAGTTGTACCGATCCTCCAGACTGGGCAGCTCAATTTTGTTAACCAGGCTGTAGAAATCCACATGAGGGGTCTTGATCAAGGCCAAATCTGCATCCCGTCCGTGATATTCTGGGTACATGATCAGGTTCTCCCTGCCCACGGTGTGGCGGAATGCAGGTTCGTTGTAGTTGATGGCACCGTAGTACAGGGAAGCCTCGTCGGCACTAAGGTTATAGAAACGGTATTAAATTTATTTGATTAATTTCTATATATCAAAAACATACCCATCAATGCAGTGACCGGCAGTGAGCACCCAAGTGTGTCCAATAATTGAGCCACCGCACCACCACCAGCGTCCGTTGCTGTTCAGGCTCACTCCCACAATATATGGTATTAGTCCCTCGGTCGCCAAAGCTCCATTGGTGATCCGACCTTCAATGTTCCTTGTTTCCACCTTCAAATCCCGCGGATGCACAGCGGATTGGGGAATAGTGGAGGCACTGCAAGCAGCCACGAGGACAAGTACCAAGAGTGTAAGACCTGCCATTTCTGGAGACTGAAACAGCTTACAGGGTGGTCTTAGCATTATATAGTCCCAAAGAATTTATTATCGATGCAAGAGGCAAATCTAATCTTGCATGTGCCGCTATTCATGCGGAAATACTTATCAATAAACAAATTTAATTTATATTAGCTTATACTTTAACTAAGTGCTCGTCTGAGTGAGTTAATAGCATTTTCATAATATGTTAGTATAAACTCAACTTTAAAAAGAAACCACAAACTTTAATAAGTAGCCTCTTAGTTAACATACTTATCCATAATTGATTCTGTCTACTGGTTTCCCAGCTTAATCAGTCTTAATAGGTACTACCAGCCTATTTAAGTTCAAGTGTTAAGTATGCTGATAAAAACAAAATGATAAAAGCCCTGAATGCTCTATTTCCTTTAATAATAGATTGATCATGACAATTTAATCGTATTTATATTCCTTTTATTATTTATTTTCTGAAATGTTCCATATTTAGCTTTTAGTAATAAATGCCAGTCTCCTCCTTGATCCATTCCAAGTACTTGGTCACACGGGTGAACCCAGCCGGAGCTCCCACCTGGCACCCATAGCTAGAGCCAAAGGAAGTAACTCCAATCAGCTTATTGCCCTCTTTTGTGACCAAAGGACCACCGGAATCTCCTTGGCAGGTGGACTTTCCATCAGGAGTTTCCACACAGATGACATTATCGGTGGCAGTTCCGGTTCCGTAATAAGCCTGACACTCCGCCACGGAGATCACCTGGACATCCACAAATCGCAGATCCTCGACCACATTGCTGCCATCGTAGATGGCACCCCACCCGGAGGCTTGAGCCCAGGATTTGTCATAAGAGTTGTACCGATCCTCCAGACTGGGCAGCTCAATCTTGTTAACCAGGCTGTAGAAATCCACATGAGGAGTCTTGATCAAGGCCAAATCAGCATCGCGTCCGTGATATTCTGGGTACATGATCAGGTTCTCCCTGCCCACGGTGTGGCGGAATGCAGGTTCGTTGTAGTTGATGGCACCGTAGTACAGGGAAGCCTCATCTGCGCTAAGGTTATACACTTTTCATTACATTTACTTTATTAATTACTTTATGTCAGAAATATACCCATCGATGCAGTGACCGGCAGTGAGCACCCAAGTGTGTCCAATAATAGAGCCACCGCACCACCACCAGCGGCCGTTGCTGTTCAGGCTCACTCCCACAATGTAGGGAACTTGGCCCTCCGTTGCCTCATTTCCGTTCGTGATGCGACCCTCGATGCTTCGATGTCGGATTTCCAGATCCCGTGGGTGGACAGCCGTACGGGAGAGAGTGGATGCACTGCAGACCCCAAGAAAGACCACCAATAGTAGTAGTATGTATGCCGTCATTTTCGAAGACTAAATCTATTCCGATGGTTGACATAGGAATATATAGCTCAAACCGATTCTTTATCAATGCAAATATAATAAGCTAAATCTTATCAAGCATGAGTCGTTGTCAGGTTTAAATCAACCCATAAATAATACCATATTTTAATTCTAACACTTGAGAAAGTAGTGTAAACTAAAGTGAAAAGATAAGAGGGGGTTCTGTTCTGGCTTCAAGACCAATTTATATGTAATATAGAAAAACAAGAATACAAATAATTGTTTAACTTATAAACAATAAAGACAGGTAACTTCGGAATTTTGAACGTTAAATGTGTGCATTATAGAGACTTTAAGTAGATATATTCCTATGATAAATTTGTTGGAAAAAATCACAGTTTCAAATGTTAAGCCTAAGCCGAAAATGTATTAATTTTAATTCGGAAAGCATTCCTAACTTAGTTTTTCTTAGGTGCATATCAAGATTTAAGATTTAAAATATTAAATGTTTTTTTCCCAATTTTGACAATTTAAACGATGTAAACCCTTATCATTAATAGATTCGGCTATTCATGCTGATCAAGAATATACATGATTTATAGGGACGAAAATGACTCCTTCACATCATTACAAGCTTCTGACAAAATTATAATACCCTTAAATGCTATAAGAACAAAACGCATTAGTATTACTTAATTTAATATAAATATAGCCACAGACTGGCACTGAGTACAAAATCCGTTTAACTGCACCAAATGCAGTAGGGAAACATCGACAAACACCAAAGGTGGGTACACCAAAGCCAGGGAACCCAGTTAAATTCTTCGACATAGAAATTGCAATCGAGGGTCATGCGATATCCTTGAAGTAGCCCAGGAAATAGTGCAATGGAAAACAAAATACGATTATGGCAATCAAAAGGGAAGTCCACATTCGGAACTACTGCACAATGCAGCCAAGTCCAGCTGCTCTTAAAGCGAAACTCGATATGAGTTCTGAGAAAGTCACAAGGCAGGTGGGATGGATGACAGCACCCACTCATTAAGAATCTATTGGGACTGGACTCCACCGGTCTGAGCTATGTTTGCTATTTCCGTGCTCCTTCTTGACCACTTCGACCGCATATTGCACTGTGGAAAATCTCATTGGAGGAAACTCACCACAGGCCGGAGAGCTATTAAAGCCGTCCCCCGACGCGCCATGAGTCAGTTTACGACTCGACGTCCAGGCTGTCAGATCCTTTGCGCGCGTCACGTCTCCCTTGAAAGCACGAATAATATAATTAAAAGTTGCGCGCGTCATTCCCGCTAAACGAACATCCATCCCTATTCAAAACTGGGTTCCTACAGGCAGTGCAAATCACAAAGTGCAGGAGGCATTAATTAATTTAATGCACCTCCCGCTTATCCTGGGAGTACAAAGCCAGAAACACAATACATTCTATGCGGCGGCGAGTGATTGAGAGTTCAAAGAACCGCTTTAAAGGATACCTGTGCCGTGTCCTGAGTGTGTGTGTGTGTCCCCTTAGTGTTTGTTTTCCGTGCACGCCACCCATAACAACAGCAGGACTCACGATAAGCGATAAAAGGTGGGGCGATTAAGTCATCCTCCCGCAACACCATCCTGCGAATTAGTATTAACTGGATTTTCAAGGATATAAAAAACTGTAAGTTGCGGAAGTCAAGTTCAAGAATTTAAATTACTATAATATAAATTGGAAAATACTGGGAGCTTGTACAAGGATCAAAAGCTTAAGTAATTAAAAACAAAAATTAAAAAATAACCTGAGGTTAATTAGGTTTTGAGTTATTTTAAGCTTGATTCACACATTTATTCCTTTATCTCACAAATAAAATTGCATATTATTTCAAAGGGCTTAGACTAGGAGTTAATAAATTTTGCATTTATCATGTTTTATATTTTATTTACCAAATTAAAATACAAAACTTCGAGTGTATTTACAAAGATGGTAAAGTAAACTCTTTATTCAAATTATCCTTTAATCTATTGAACATATTAGATTAAATTTAAATTCAATGCCTTTCTAGGTATACAAATTATAAATTAAATCAAAATAATAACTAAAAACCATTGCTTAAAAATGTAACACATAAACTATACATTTCAGCTTCACCAAACAAACCAGAGTACAATAACACACACGAAATGTTCCATGTTAGTCCTCCTCGAACAGAAATTCGGTTGTCTATAAGTGACTAGACCAACCAACCAACCAATCAGGACCCTATACAAGCCCCGAATCCCCAAAAAGAAACCAAATCAAGAACAGGATGCACCAGGTACTCAGCTACGAGACGGCGGTGAGGGCCAACAGCTCCCGCGAGTTCCGTGAATACGTTTCCAAGCGCACTTGTGCCTCCCTGGTGCTAACGATTGCCTTCTTCATGCTGATAACAGGTGAGTGTCTAGTGATAGGGCAACGTCAAACAGGATCTAAGCCTCTAACGAGTCCCACTTGTGTGTGTGTCCCCCGATTCCGCAGGATACTTGCTGGGCAATTTTGTGGCCGAGCGCAAGTATCACATTCGCCAGATGACAAAGAGCGTAATTAAGGACGTGGACGGTGAGAGGTCTGTGAAGCTGAACAGCGAGGAGTATGTGAGCCTGCAAGAGCTACAGACGTACCAGAAGTCCAAGGGTCAGTTGCTGGTGTCCGCCCAGGTCCTGGACAAGTTGCAGCAGCAGGATGAGAGCGAGCGGTATCTGGCCACCTCGCTGAACACGGAGATCTTTAACAAGTACATATCCTGCACCCAGGACATACCGCCCAACACGAACATCGCGGCTAGCCAGTTTATCGAGCAGCTGGTGGACAACACCGTGGCCAGGCAGCGTCATTGCATGCGGATTATCCAGGTGGTAATCGATAATCACCTGGCCAACAGCCAGCTGTAGGAGATGCAGGATGTGAAAACGGTTTAGCGGGCCCAAGTGCAAAATGTGCCATAATTGCGAAATTATTTACATAAATGTATGTGCTTCTAGGTGTGCTCAATGTGTGTGTTTCCAGCTAATTAGAATGTAATTTTGTATGTCGTTGGTATAGTATTTACTTGCCCTAGTTTTTTTATACATGTCAGCATTTAAAGCAATCTAAAAGAAAATTAAAAATAGATGTTGAAAAGTAAAAGAGTGTGTAATTAAATGAGTTAATAATAATAATAATTAGTTTCACCATCTCTTTTCAATTAACACTTTTATTTTAATACTTTACTTTTCTTTATACAAAATTAACCCTTGAGGTTTTTAGAGAAATCATTACTATCCTTTATTTTCCTCTTCCGTTGAATTATATAGACGATACTTTGGGTTAACACCTTTTATAGGCAATACGTGACCCGCACTATTAAAGACCCATTCTTGCAGAGGGAATACCTCATCTTCCGAAAACAGCAGGAACAAGTATTTGAGAGTTGCGCCCAAGAAGTAAGTCCGTTGAACGTCATCTGATCCGGAGGACTCGTTGTACACATCTTGGATGCCAGCATATCCATACGGGGTCCGGCAGTACTTCTCCAATGCCAAGACGAGTTCTCGTCCCCACTCCCGGTACTTCTTGTCGCGACTCAGACGCCATAGTTTTAAATAGCTCTCAACTATTTCCGGGCGTAGTGCATAGAAGGTTCTCTGCAGGGATACTATCTCCTCTCGGGATTCCTCTGAGAAACCCATCTCCTCCGGACCCAGTCCAGTAGGTGACTGCCTATAGAGGTCGTGACAAGTGTCGCCAATGCCGATGCCAATTTGTGCATACTTCGCCCAGTGCTTCATCAACGTTTGCTCTGCTCCCTGGGCGAAAAGGCCAGCCGCAAAGCAATCCGACTGCTTCATTCGATCAGTTCGTGCGCCATCTACGACTTCCGGCATGTAGATAACATCCTCCGTTGTTATTTCCACCATATTCTGCACCACCGCCAACATGGCATCTTTGAAAACTTCCAAAGTTTCAGAATCATTCCAGCCGGACTGCATCCAGGACTTTAATAGGTAGTCATGAAATCGGTTTATCGAGCATCTAGAGGTCTCCCATCTTCCATATTTCGTGCAGAAGGAGTCTGGATACAGGCCATTCGGCTTGTTCACATCAGCCAGCAACCGACGGATGCCATCAACTACATTTTTGTAGACTGGATTCCCGGTGATTTCACTAAGATAAAAGAACTCCAAGTGCAGGGCTCCAAACTCCGCGGTACGTGCCACATCAGGGAGGGATCTTTTACGAAAGTGGTCATCGTTTGGTACAACGAATCGCTTGGGTATACCCGTAGGAGTCTGGAAGGCTGGCAGTATCTTATCAGCTATGTGTATAGCCTTATCCCTGTATAGTTCGTCTCCAGTTAGGGCGTACATAGCTAACATGGGTCCCAACATCCTAGAAGTTAGTTCAAAAATGGACAAGGCCTGGTCGACGTTATCCAAGGTGAATGATTCCTGGATCCATTCCCGTGACTGGTTTAACTCCTTATCCAGACCCATCACAAACAAAGTGTCCATACTTTCTATGATTGTTGCACCCAGTTTGTGGTGTCCGAATTCGCTGTCGAAGTTATCACTCTGAGTAATCGGACGGTATTCATTGGTGCCCCAAGTCAATCTCGCATAATTTCTCCAAGCGTGCAGCATCATTTCCTTGATCTTCCGCCGCATTGCTTCCGGGGTCTCCTCAATGGCATCGATATCTTTTACTTTATCTTTTTCCTCCTGACTTAAAGAAAGAGCCATCAAGGCGATTATTAAAGTTCCCATGGCGATGTAAAGGATTTTGACAGACTTTTTGGTAGTATGCCATTTGTAATACGCCCGACGGGTGGTAAAAATGAAGAAATACATTCCGATTCAGAGCTATATTGGGCTTTGAATAGAGTGGAGACGATAGATGGTTGTAACTCTAAACTTGACCAGATCCACTAGGTTGGGGACACTTGTTTAAACATTTGACATGCCTTTGTATAAACCGGGCAGATCGAGTTGGAGCTTAAGGTGGGCCTTATTTTCTACAATTTCCATCATTGAAATCAGCATACGAGAACTAGGTTTATAATCTTATACAAATAATACATAACATTTTGGTTCCAGTAAATATATTATTTATAGCTCGGTTATTTACAATAAAATTTTAATATATTTTAATAATACTTACATACATAACCCCTACTGTGTAGATATAATATTGCGCATTTGCCGAATGGCCGTGACCAGACGCGGTTCACAACCGCTACTTAGGGTCAAGTACTGATCCGGAGCTGCCTTAAGTAGCGTTAGGATCTGAGACAGCTGCAAGTTAATGGATAAGCCCAGCTCCTCGAGCACGTTTGAAAGGTACTCAATGTCCACACTAAGTTGCGTGGCCGCCGAAGATGGCAGCGACTTGATTTGCAGTATCTGCGTCTGGTACAACACGCAGCACTGCTCCACGACGAGGGACAACAGGACGTCGGCACAGGGAATGGCTTGCGTATACTTAATGTTGCACACCTCGAGAGCCTGCTTCAGTAAGGAGGATGGCGACAGCAAAAGAGGCTCCAAGTGTTGCGGTAAAGTGAGCAGGTACTGGCCAATCTGAGTGATACTCTCTTGTGGAGCAAAACTGAATGATGGCATTTCAATGCCCGATGCCGCGTGCCCCTCCACCGGTGGCCGAATGTGCGCCAAGTGCGTCTCGATCGGCTGCAGCAATATGTTAAGTGTAATGTCGTGGGTTTCTGTAAAATGACTCTTTAGGGTCGTGTAGATCTGCGGAAAGATTCCAAGGCTGTCGGTGGCTTCCGACTTCTTTTGCTGATAGTCAGCTATGCTATTCAGCAGCTGGGTGCGAGCCGCATGATCACAGGTCTGGAAAATGGTAATAGGTCCCAGGCTGGATGGTTTGGCCAGCCGACTGGCTAGAGTACCCATACGTGTGTGCAAATCCTGTTCGAATTGATGGAGCTGAAGTTGAAAATCGGCGAGGCACTGCAACTGCGACATGGTGTACTGCAGCAGCGACCAGTTCTCGCTCTGCGCCGCATAGCTGCTTGATCCCAAACTCAGTCCAATCTGCCGCTGGATGCGACCGAAGTTTTCCAACTGCCGTTTGAAGATGCCATTCAACAGGGTTATAAGTTTGCATAAGGCCAAATCACTGGTTATGGAGGCACAACGTTCGCAGGCTTCCTTCAGCCACTCGTAGAGCTTCCTGGTGCTCTCCTCAAGGTGACGGACGCCATCACTGGGAGTAGCCTGGTTGGAGGACAGCCTATCCACCTGTGTCGATAACTGGGTCTCCTCCAATCGCGGATATTGCTGAATAAACTTGTGGAAATACTCGAATACCGCCTCCCCCAGCAAACGATGCAGATCCTCGGGCAAGGTAATGTGCGATTGTTCTAGTAAAGAGTTCAAGTGTAGCACAAAGCTATGATTCACCTGGGCGAATAAGGCTAGCATCTCCAATCTCTCATTGGAAGTCTTCAAAAGCTGCAGAATATGCGCATCACGATTGGGTTGCAGTGCTGGCAGTAGCTCGGCAATCACCAGAAAAGGCTGCATGCAGTCCTCCCCGAAGAGATTTGTGCACCACTTCACCTGACGCTGGCAGTGCTCCAGCAACTGATCGTAGTACAACGTGAGGAACTGCTGATGCTGTGGTTGCGTTTCCGTGCCCTGCAGCTCAAGAGTTTGCTTCCACTGCTGCTGCCAGAAATTCTTCTGGACAGCTCGATAGTATTGCTGTAGTTGCGGTAATCGCTGAATGCTTGTGAATATCTGAACGTAATGCTGAGCCTGCTCTAAGTTGCCCTCGGCAAAGCATTGAACCACGCTGGGCGAGGCCAGTGCCTCCAAGCGGTTCTTAAAGTCCTCCACTTGGGTTAGGCGCTCGCCATGTCCTGGCAACTGTTCCTGTGCGACCAAGGACTTTTGCAGAGCCATCAGCTTGTCGCAAACGCCCTGTAAAGCAGTGGTTTATACAAGGATTCGTTTTAGGGGAGCAACAGTTAATACCTTTAGATCATTGCGCTCGAATCCATCCTCCAGCTCGGCCAGCAAGTTCCCCCACCCATCCGATTCCTGCAACGACTCCTTGGCCACCTGCAGGCGCTGACTCTTGGTATTCAACCGTTCCAAGGTAGCCATGCACTCTCCAGTTTCACTTTGCACTGCAGCCACCTCCAGTCGCATGGCACTCATCTTCTCCTGCAAACAGCGAACCTCTCCCTGCAGCGCGACGGACTCTTTTGCGATCCGAGGCATGCTGGCCACCACCTGCCGGCTGGACTCCTCTACGGCATTGTTAACCTGTCGATGAAGGAACATTTTTATATCATAAACTTTTATAGAGCGCAGGTTACTCCAGAGCTTACGTTGAATATGTACAGCTGCAGCTTGGCCACGTAGCTCCGAATGAAGGACGAGGCGGCATCACTGTCGTCGCGTCCGTTTTCCTCCACGAACTTCTTGTAGTTGGCGTTTATCCACTCAGCAGGACTAAAATTTGGCCCAGAAAGAGCCGACACATCCATGGTGACGTTGAATTGGGTACGGTATGGTATGACCGTATATCAAAGTAGCAATAATGGCACATTTAAACAAAATCTACGAGCTAGAGATGGCCTCCGGCCTGGACATTAATATTTTTAATTTAATTAATTATCCTTTAGTTCAAAAAGAAATAATTGTTCTATATATAAGTAATTAGTTAATTTAATTTTCATTTCAAACTATTTTTTATTCCAATACATCAAAAGTCGTGGGAATGAGTTGTCACGCGCTCATCTCTAAACCAGCTTCTCAATTCACAACACAATTTTTCATCACAGCAGGAAATATTTTGATTTTTACACATATTCTTGTGATATTTAAAACATGTCACTTGGTAATGCCGATCCTTGGCACGTAAGAACTTCAGAAATTAAGGAAGCAAACACGAAGCCCACTGACAAAACCGACAGTTTCGAGGACGATTTCACGCCCGCAAAAGAGAGCACAACGCCCGCAAAGGACGCGGAGTGTCCCACAGGGCATGAACCTCTGCCGGACTCTAGCGACTACTTAAAGCTATTGGGTAGGCTGAACCCTATTGGAACCAAGATCCGCCTATTAAATAGTATCATTATTTTTCAGAACGGAAGCTGGCCCGTGTACAAAAGGGAAACAAACTACTGGACAACCTTCGGGACAAGCGGCAGGACTGTATGAGGGGATTACTGGAATCTGAAGGAGTGCCAATTTCTATATTCGAGCAATTCCTTGAGCTTGACACACCCATTGAGAGCGGTCGTCTTCATCGCCACTTGCTGCCCGTCCAGGCTGTAAACGTTGGGGAAACCGTGTATATTGTTGACCACGACGCACTGCAGCGTTCAGAGGAGGAAGAGGAGGCGCATCAGCCAGCAGCTGAACACTAACTAAAATCACAATGAATTCCTTATTCGGCAATGTCTTCTTGTTTCTAACGGAGCTGGCCTGGAAGAGTCGCCTAACCATACCCGTTCTGGTCACAACCGCATTTCTCGTGATGGACATCCGCCTGCAGATCGAGATCAACATACAATCGGGTCAATTTGTAAGTTGAAAATTAACAGTGCCGCGAATCAAGAACCTAAAGCGTAAATTTCAACAGAACCCCAGCGATTTGGACGAAGATGAGGGCATGGGTGCCCACGATCACGGCATGGATGACAGCGGGAGTGACAGCTACACGGAAGATCTCGAGGAATACAATAGCGAATACACCAACGATGATGGCAACAATAGCGAGACTTCTCACTATAGCATGGACATCTATGATCCCTGGGGCTCCGACTGGGATGCCGAAGACGAAGTCGAGGCTACATACTCTCGGCAGGTTTCGTTATAAAGTACCAACACAGTTTTAAATTAAGCGTAATTGGGCCAGATAAGCTAGCTTTATATTATGTATATGTATATACTCAAAAATATCGAACCCCTAATACTAATATTTAACCATTTCATGCACTAAAAATAAAACAAGTTTAAGGGCATCATCGGTTTAATTGTCCGTTTACATATAGAGTTTGATCAGCTCGTCGCTTACAGCTGACGGCGTAAGAATGCCCAGATCGGTGAAGAGCAGCGTGATGTAGACGGGTGGCGTGTAGTCCACCATTGGGTGCACTTTGCTCACATCGTTGAGGTGCTTCCGGGAGTACTAAATAAGAGCAGTTTTAGTCAGATTTATAATATCGAAATTACTTAAACCTACTTTATACTCATCAGGCAGATCCCGCTGGTTGAGTGGATATAGACGAGAGAACTTGAAACTCTCGGAAAGGACGTAGAAGGGCTTCTTCATCTCGCGGGCGCATAGGCCCATGGTGTAGGAGCCAATTCTGTTGATAATGCCGCCACTTTCCACCACAGCTTCAGCGCCCACCATGACAAAGTCCACTGATTCCATCACATAACCGGTCGCCGAGTCCAGAATCAGAGTACAATCAATGCCAGCTGCTTCCAGTTCCCGCACCATCTCTTCGCTGCGTTCGAGAAGGTTAATGTTTAAATTTTAGGGGAGGCTTGCTTTATTCACCCGGGGTTTCCAGTGCCGCCTTGCGTCACGTATACATGGAAAGACTTCTTATTTTGGGAGGCAGTAATCAGGGCCTTAAGGACCACACGGGATCGGGAGTGTGTCAATATGCGACAGCCATCACTGATGAACCGCTGAGCCTGGTGGGCAATTACCTTAAAAAAGGTTACATTTAGGATTCAGTAAATTTGAGAAGACTTTCGTTAGGTATTGAGTCCAACCTGCCGTGAGTTGAGCAGCTTCGTGAGAAAGATCTTGCCGCGATGCAACATGATCTGGCGACACTCCTCCATGTGCTTGTCGTCTAAGCTGAGCGTAATAAACCGGCAAAAAAGCTCTCCAGCCGACACGATTGCAGCAATGGACAAGTCTGTGTTCCGCATGGCAGCCACCGCTTCCCGCATGGTTGTATGTAGGATGTGAATGGTGCCAACTGAGAAGTATGACACAAAAGGACACATGTAATTGGTACATTCTTTACAGAACAACACAAAACTTACACTGTTTCTTTTCCAGGATCATGAGCAGTGTCCTAATGGCCGCAATGCCAGAGGAAAGGTCCTTGTCTTCCTCCAGTAGCTGCAGGAAGTATTTGACGACATCTAAAGGCAGATAGTTAAGTAAACGATAGGGTCAGTATTGATAAATATATTTAGCTTACCAAAATCATGATTATTCTCCGTAATTTGCGGCATTTTGTTGAAATATTAAGAATCCGCCAGTTGCTGCACGTCAACAAAATTGAACAGCTGTTTGTGCCAGAAAACAGCTGACCCAAGCAGCATTTTCAAACACTATCAGATAACACTCGCACACTTATCCAACACACTGCACCGGCTCATAGTGCTGCAAAAGGTTTTCGCCCGGCACAAAGTGTTGGAAAGCGCTGCCGATTGTGCCCAAAACGTAAACAATCAAAAAATTGTTTATTTTCGTTTATTTTTCGGCATAAAATCGAAACTAAATCCACAGCATGAAATTCAAGTAAATCGCCGGCAACGCAAGCGAAGAGTTCCACGTGAGTCAGCAGCCAGAAGCCAGGTAGTCGACGGGTAAGGAGCGATACCCAAGGGGTGAAACCACGCCACCATGTTCAAACTGGAGTCCTACATCACTCCGATTCTGCTGAACCACGTGGCCAAATATGTGAAGAACTTCCGAGACGAGGATGCCCAGGTCTCGCTGTGGGAGGGCGAGGTCACCTTCCAGAATTTGGACCTGCGGCTGGAGGTGCTCGAGGAAGAGCTCAATCTACCTGTGGAGCTGGTTTCCGGCCACATCCATGAGCTAAGCATACAGGTGCCGTGGACCAAGCTGATGTCCGAGCCGGTGAAGATCGTCATCAACACGATCGAGTTCGTGGCCAAGCTGCCGGACAGCGAGAGCAAGCAGCGACGCGACTCATTCCAGCAGGAGCAGCGCCGCAAATCGAAGCGAACGTCAGCGGAGGCGGCGGACCAGCAGCCCAAGAGCCCCGCCCCGGCCAGCAGCTCCAGCGTGGTGAATAAGATCATCAACAACATTACGCTGCAGTGTCACAACATCATCCTGAAGTACGTCGAGGACGATATCGTGGTCTCCATGAACGTACAGTGCCTGAACTTCACCTCCGCCGGTGAAGACTGGAAGCCCACCATGGTAGACATGCATCCCGTGTCTGTGGTCATGAGAAAGTTGCTCCAAATATCTGATTTGACCATCTGTCTGGACAAACGGAACACTGCTGGCCGGATTGAGGTTTGCCAGGAGCCGGTGCTCTATCGCTGCAGCTTAGAATGTCGAGTCCTACGAAAATACAACGCCAATACGGTAAACACCTCGAGCACCACACGCGTGGGAGTGTTCACCAAGGCGTTGGACATCAATGTGTCTTCCCTGCAATTCCCAATGGTAATGAGACTAGTGAAATTGCTTATCGAACTAAAACCGGCCCCGTCCGAGGAGGAACCGACGAACACGAACGACCAGGCGGATGAAACGACCGAAGCTCACCCGACACAGGAGGGCACCGAGCCCAATGGACAGAGTTTGCTCTGGTGGGCCTGGAACAAGTTGCCCAGCTTTGAGGCTGAGGCGCCAGTTACCATGTGTGACGAACGGGTTGGCCACGCCTTTGACATAGGCATCTATGCTGAGGAGCTGAACTTCCAGCTTAAGAACTCGGAGTACTTCACAGACCACAGCATGGGCGGCATCAAGCGGATACGGTACACCCCGATACTGCGGATCAGCCTGGGCGGGCTCTACTATGAGCGGTCGGAACTAAAGGAGTGCGAGTGGACAAATGTGAAGGCAGGGTTGTCGAGCATGTGTATGGAGCCGCTGGGTATTTACCGAAGCCAGGACCTCGTTGATCGCACTCTAGTCAATACGGAGTCGGTAAGTACGACGGCCATTCATTGCTGCAAGAGAGAAATACCTTCTTTGTTACCGTAGTTTATGGACGAGCGTTCCTTCATCGATAAGAGCCTGTTCGACGAGCACTACATGTTTGCTGAGCGGACGTGGTGCAGCTACAACTACGAGGACTATGCCGCTCGGAACACGGATGAGTATATGCTGTTCCGCAGCCCCGTTCTGGCTTTCGACATTGTCGAGTACAGGGTACCATCCAAGACGAACCACCCCAGCCACCCGGTGGCAGAGAGCCAACTGCGGGATTCGGGACTTCGGATTCAGTACCGTCTGCTGTCCGCCGGAATCACCTTCCATTTTTCGCAGTCTTTTGCGCAGGTTAAGAATGTAATTACCGATTTAATTCGTCCTTACGATTACTCGGGATATCATTCAGAAAGTGTAAGCGATGTGAAGGCTCTTGAGGAGCATGCCGACATGACCGTGCCGGACTTGGAATATCTGGTGGCCCTCGTACCCACTTGCAACTACAAAATTGAGCTGCGCAACATCGTCATTCAGCTATATCCACGCCAACAGCAGGAGGAGACATCGGCAAGTAATCAGCACCAACTGACGACCACGGTGAAGCAGTCCCTGTTGCCATATCTGCAGCTGAAGATTTCCTTGGTGGAGGGCACCATGTGCGGTCCAGCCAATCCCAAACGCCTTGTCCAGCTCATCACTCATCTACAGGACAAGCCTAGGGAGGTGATTAACGCCTGCTACAACTGCTACAGCTTCAGCCTCAAGAATGTGACGCTGATAATTCTGAACACCACCCCGGACGGTGGGCAGGCCAAGCTCTTGAGCATTCCACGCATGCAGGTGAACTGGAACCGCCTGCTGCTCCCTAATCTCTGGCGGCAGAACGAAGCAGCAGCCCTGGAGAAGGCGGATCTGAAGTCAGAGATAATGGCCTTGGAGTTCTCTAAGCGCGAATTGATTCTCGCCAAGCGACTTGTTCCGCTTATTTTGAGTTTCGACGGGTCAGAGCTTTGTTACCTAGCCCATTTAGTGTCCCAGGCTAATGTCCATTCCGATGTGATCAAGCTGCAAACTGTGGGCTCCAAGCTTAACCTGAGCTACAACAAGTATCTCTCGCACTTAGCTGCCGTTGGTTCTCTACAAGGCATCCAGGCCGACGTCGTTAACACCAAAATGAATGCCCGAAACGTTGTGCTGTCCACCTCGGCGAATGTTAACAACAAGTGGCTAGAGATGCAGCTCCAGTTCCCCCTAGAGGAAGCCAATCAGGAGGTGCAGAAGAGGGAAAAGACGCCTGGCACTGTGGTGTGTCTCTGGATGGAACCATTTTGCATCACCACCGATGTTTACCTTCTGCAGTTTATGAACTTTTCGCATCATAGCGGGAAGAAGAAAACAAAGGAAAATGGTAAGAACACATTGTAAATTTAGGATAAATATATTTTTGAATAAATTGCTTTTCAGAAGGTGATACCGAGGTAGAGACGTTTAGCCATTCGGAGCCTATCGCGCAATCTCTCTCCAACTACTCCACTATATCCGCCATGAACGATCTTCAGCCACGTCGCATTAGCAGAAACAACAGTCGCAAGATCTCTGTACCCGAGGAGACCGTTCATCTAAGTTCTGAGCGCGATGAGAGGCATACTCAAACGGAGCCCATAAACCTAGTGTTGAGCAGTAATAAGGCCAAAGCGACCACCTTTGATTCTACGCAGCTGGTACATCGCCTAAGTAATCTGGTAGTGCTGGTAGAGATCACCCAGGCCCAGGTGAACGTGTGCGAGGCGATGATGCGAAAGAAGTCAACAGAAGTGGATGTTGAGTACACCTCGATCCGCTTACCCAATGTTAAGATAAAATCAGGCAATTGCGACTCCATTCAGCGTGGCAATATCAGATCCGTAGTCTGGGTCGCCCCCAAAGCGGAGCTCATCAATTGGGTCATCGACTTGAACGAGTTCAATGTGTGCTGCTGCAAATCAAATGTGGCTGATACGATAGTGGCTCCGGTTAGGACAACTATAACCCTGGCTCTGTCCCATAAGGTAGCCGAAGCAGAGGATGATAGAAGCAACCAGGAAAGAAAAACCAAATCATCTGAGGAATCGTTTGAACAAGGAACTTACTCCATAAATGTGCATGTGGATATGTCGGCTATCAATATATTCGCACAGCGGCTAAAACTGTTGCACGAGCACTGTCGGATCCTTTCCAAAGCGTACTCCTCCTTTTATCCGGATGAACCTTCTACTTCAAAGTGTAGACCCGCTGAAATCAAGCCCAGACTTGAGGTTTACACCGGCAGTTCACAGAACTATTCGGTGATCAGGGAGTTCCTGGAGCTAGATCCCAACTTTGAAGCACCTAAAGCTGAAGCTGGTAAGAAGAAGTTTCTTAATATGGAAAAAGAAAATATTACTATTATTTCGTTACAGCTCAGAAGATCTCGCTTGTAATATTCTGCCAATGGACCATACCTAGAATCTGCTTGGAAATGGAGAACTCCGTTAATACTAATCACAGTAAAATCGTCGCCACCCTGGAGGACCTTCTTCTCAATATCGACAGACACAGTGACTTCACCAAGATTACCACAAAAGTAGAAAACTTTGGCCTTAATTATTACAAGGAGAAGCAAACTCAGGATTGGGAAAGGATCGAGGACTTTCACATTAAAATGCTGGGGGATGCTGGCACAAACTTGCCTCTATTCAGTGTGGTGGTCACCACAGTCAGCCTGCAGGATCTGTATGCAAAGATTGGAGCAAGGAATCCCCACAACAAGCAGCACACCATTTCTGAGGTGCTAATCGACGTGCAGCCCATTGAGATGGTGTTGGATTTGGATCAAATAACCGAGTTTATGATACCCCTGTGTGAGGTCCTACAGATAATGCAAAGTCCCAGTCCTGAACAGATGCAGTCCCATTCGCCATCAGTTCCCAGCCAGATTACCACGGTTCAAGACCTGCCCATGGTGCATTTGAACAGCAAAGGCATCTATGTTTACCTTCCCTTATCGACGGGCAGAAAGAGCTGCAGTGTATTGTTACTCAGGGTAAGTGACTGATTTACTTCCGATCGGTTTCTGGTGCATTCTTTTTTATATATTTTGTTTATATAGATCGAGAGCATCCAGCTAACGCCGAGCCTTGAAAATCCCTTGGTACGCCAACTCGTCCGCCCGGATATCTACCAGAAGGCCGCCGAGCTGAACATGCTAAATACTCCAGGCGCCTTGGTCGAAGATCGTCAGTATGAGCTAAGCGTAAGGAAGGTATCGCTATCCACAGGCAACTGGAAGCAGACACAGAGATATCGGCTCGAGAAGAGCTTGGCCAGCAAGCACAACAACCCAGCCTTTGAGTGGAACAACCAGAGTCAAGCCACCGAACTGCATCACATGGAGATATTCAAAGATTTTGACTTCATCATGATCTATGCTCCGGCCATGAGCTACGATCGCTATCTTGTATGCGGCCAGAGTGTAGAGTACAATTGCGTGACGGACTTTGTTTCCTCGTTAAACACTCATCAAATCAGCCTGATTAGCTGCCTTATCGTTCGTATGCAACGGCTAAATTGCATCATCGATAACGTTTGTGTGCCGAAGAAAGATAGTGTATCCAAAGAAGGATCCCTTCAAGCACTTGGCGCAGTATCCGGACGCGGAAGCACTAGCGATACCGCTTTATTGTCCTCTTCCTATCCCAAAAAATGCTGTCAAAGTTTTGCGAAAAGGAAGAATTCTAGACAGGAGGTGTCCGAAAAGCAGAGGAGCTCCAGTTTCTTGGACGCAAGAGGCAGTAGCGACATTTTTTACGGTTCTTGCCAAAGCGATTCAGGCATCAACTTGTCAGGCAGTCGTGGGAAGGGAAATCCAAGATCCGTGGCTGCCGATGACCTTCATCGTGGCTATCCCCGCAGCGTGTCTTTTGTTGCTGGCATATTCGTGTTGAAAATTTACGATGTACTGGACCTGGAGGATCTTGAGGTGTTGGAACGTCCAGCGATGAAGCCGCTTCTTTTGATACTGGTCTCCCAGCCCAGTTTCATATCCACGCAGAACCTGAAGGCTTCTGTAACTCAAGCCTCGATTTTTAATATCAACGTAAATGTGGCGACTCCTTCGACAGGGGAGAATAACACGGATTTGGATCAGTTTAATGAGCCCATCCTTGATACATTGCCTGGCCAACTGAGCAGCTCGGGGATTCCTCCTCCCCTGCTGACCATGCGGACGCAGTACGATCGTCTCCAGCAAAAGGAATTGGATGTGGAGCTTCGTAAGCCCATCCTGCTTCGATTATGTGAGACGAGAGTTAAGCAACTGGCCAGTGACGTGATCCGCATCTACACGGTTCTCCACGAGACTCCCTGCTTTGCCGTTCGTAGTCAGCGTCCTGTGGAGGAAGGTTCGCAGCTCCAGCAGATGAAGACGAACTGCTACAACGCAGACAGGATGCATTTATCCAGCGATCGTATAACCATTAAGTTTTACGACGAGGAACGATCGTACAAGTGCAGCTTGGTGTGCCTGGACTTCAGCACCCGCATCAAGTTCAGTACCCGACCGCAAAAAGCTGTCATTAGGTCCACTTTGGGATCAATCTATGTGCAGTCGGGGGGAAAGATGTTACTGCATCCGTTGCTAATGCGTTTGTCAGTGGATCTGGTCAGTGAGCCGTGGTGCGACGAACTCTTTATCAATGCCACCTTCAAGCTGAACTTCCTTCATGTAGATGCTAGTGTTCTTAGTATTTTGCAACTGCAAAAGGCACAGGATGGTGTCAATCGGATTCGGGAGTATGTCAATGAGGAGTGGCAGCAATTCCTCCATCATCGCCCTGTACTGGGCACTCCGGAGGAGATCTCGCCCTGCGACTTAATCAAGTGCACGCCGTCAAATGAGTCCATAGAGAGGTTCAAAAGGCCAATGAAATCTATTGCTGAATTCTACCAGGATGATCTCAGGTAAGGGAACTTCTGGGCCTTTGAGTTGTGGTTAACTTTTGGTTTTCCTTTGTCAGAGCTGGTGCCTTCCAGTTTGTGTACCTAAACTCAGAGTCCGTGCTGCCCATGCCCTACCAAGTGCAGATCATCAAGAAGAACTATGGGATTATATGCTGGCGCTACCCGCAGCCCCGCCAGATGACCAGCATCCTCATATATCCAGTGCCCATGCCAGTTAGTGGTTGACCTAAATCGGAATGAATCTCTATTAATAATCAATTTGCATGTGAAAAGGTCAGCCATCCCATACACATTAGATGTCGCATGGAGTACTTTAGTGAGACTCACGAAACCTTCCTGCACTACTGCGACTTCTTGCTCTCGGAGACCGCCAGCAAGCAACTGACGCCACCTAGTCGTCCCATCTGTGCCACTATCTGGAGGGTGGTTATTTTGCAATCCTTGATCGCTGTGGATGGTACTTGCTTTGAAGGCGACACGGATGAAGATTTATCGGTAGACCTCTTGGTAAGATTCTTTCTGATTAACCTATCTCACTCACGACTCCTTACAGATCGAGTACATCCACTCAGACTTCAAGGTAGATGACAATAAAGATTTTATCTTGCACCCAAAAGTTCTGGTGGGCTGCATGCGCATCGATACCGTCTTTAGACCAGAGGAAGTGCCTAATTTGCAGGTGTTGCTCTGCTGCCAGGATATCGAACTGAACTTCCTGAATCAGCCAGATGTCGGCGAAGAGCTGCCACCACGGCTGAAGGAGTATAGTCTCCGGCAGACCAAGGAGACCAGCCAAACCTTCCTCACGGTGCATGTCGAAGACCTGCAGATGCATTCCACGATACATTCCAAGAGGGATTTCAGCTTGCAGACCGAATTTCGAACCAGAGTTAAGTGCTTGGATTATGGTTTCCTGAATATGCTGGATATTGTGGAGCCAATGAAGTTCACCAGTTACGCAAGAGTTACCCACTGTCCGCGTTCCTCGGTGGAGGCTAATTTCGTCGTCGACAAGCTGCGCTTTAACTGCGCCCCCTATGTGATCCACTCCCTGCTGAGTTCCAAACACCATTGGCAGCAGGTATTGCAGCAGAAAGAGCCGAGGCACGCCTTCATTCCAAAATGCTTGGTGATCAACGGGATGCAGACTCCCATTGCTTTTGGACAAACCGGCACCGTGGAGAAGATCACTGTGGCGCCCAGTGAAGTGCAGTTCTATCACTTCAGAAGCTGTTCTTTCCGGCAGGAGCTTACCTTCTTTATCACGAATCTTCAGTCAAGGCAGACGGTGGACTCGAGTGACTCCGTTCACATACCTCTAAAATTCGAGGAGGAGCACAAAGTGCAACACTTGCGAGTGGGAGACTGCTGCATTACCCTCAAGATGGCCAAGTTATCGGCCACTCAGATGTATATTCTAGTCAAAGGCCAAATTGAGTTGATTAGCATGGTGCCCTATAGCCTGATCACAGAGTTTCGCGTCGAGGGAGCCAGCTACGATGAGAATTGCGCGCCTGAGCACCTGCTGTCGTCCAAAGAGAGATCCTCCTCCTTCTACCAGCAAGTAACACATAATGCTGATATTAATATGCGGTGAGTATAAGAAATTGAGAAGATTTTATTGAATTTAATAACCCTTTGCTTCTCAGGTTGAAGCTAAGCGCTGGTCGAGGCAAAGGTCGTACTGGTGACATCCCTTTGAAGCCCAACAGCAACAATCTGCCATGGCTGGTTAAGGTGCCAACGCAATCCCCACAACAATTCATTAGCTTGTGGGTTCGGATCCTGCGTGAGGACATCGTTATGGAGCATCCCACCGAGGACTTTCAGCCACAGAAAATACTTATCTGCATTTGGCCCATCTTCGAGGTATGCAATATGCTCAGCTGTGATATTCAGGCGATCGAAAGTACCAGCGTGGAGAGCGCCACCATCGAAGCAAGGGGTGGAAGTTGGGCTCTGAACACAGCCACCACTCATGCCACGGAGCATACGCTAGCCTTTAAATTTCCGTAAGTTCCATGAGCAACTTTAGTTTAAAAATTCATAAAAATTATATAAATTGTAGATCTCCAGTGCAGCCTACTTCTGAGACTGAGTACAAGTTGATGCTGAAGAGCATGGACTGGCACAAGTTCTTCCATTACGATTCCAGCGAGTGGACCATTGAGAATGCTCTGCACAAACTGAGTAAATCGAATTCGAAGATTAAGTGGCCACTGAGCGATCCTGAAGAATTACGCCTGAAACGCGAACTGAAGCTCCCTTGCCAATGTCCATTTGATGTCAGATACCAGACAGGTGCGACAAGGGAATTTTCGTGTACTATGGGACTGGATGTGACTGCCTGGGCCATGTTTATCAATGCCACAGGGTTGGATGTAACTCTATGCACGATCAAGGAGCCGGCATGCATTCTCCTTAAAGCCAATAGTTTGGAAATGCTGCCAAAACTAACGTGTGCATTCTCCATTCAAGTTTCCTTTAATAATGAATGGATTTCCTCAACTCCCATATGCTTAGAAGAGCAGTTGGCGCAGAAAACGGCTAACAATGCCGGAAGAACCATGTCCTTGCGCTGTAACTCATTTGTGGACGTAGTAATAGTCGAAAAGGAGCAAGTGTACCGATTAATGCTGGAATACAAACAGGAAACCGATGGTCGCCGTGTTTTCAAATTGCGTTCCAAGTTCGTGTTGACCAATTTCACGGATGTATCTCTCAATGCTTTACCCTTGGCTATGGATCACAAGGAAACCGCCACTCGGGAAGAAGTGGATGCTTGTGCGATTGCCAAGTCACCGCGCAGTCTGACATCCGTGGATTCGACAAAAAACTGGTAGGATATTATAAAAAGCTCTCTATATTATCTCTTAATTAATGAATTATAAATTTCTTCCAGCATTGGTACGTCCTTGGATGTTTTCTACGATCTTGGGTCCAAGCACAACTGTGATACCGCATTCGTGTACTTCGTTTGCTTTAGTGTTGGCGGCCATTGGGACATTTCCATTCCCATTCCCTTGGCCATACCATTCACTAGACGCTGCTTCAGCTTGCAGGCGGGACGCGAATCTATTCCCCTGATGATTACTTTGATTGAAAAGGACAACGTGCACTATTTGAACGTGTTCCGGGACACGGCGCCAGCCATCATCATCAGCAACAATACAAATATTAAATTCATCGTGGCCCAAACGAGTGCCTCGGAGAACAGCAATGTTAGCTGCACAAATTCCGAGTTTGTGGGTAGGCACTTTGAGTGGAACCAATTGGTGCTGGCGCACAGTAAGTGCTATTATACCCCGCCACAGATGTATGCCAACTTTCCGGACGTGGAGTTCACCATGTGCAATCTATCTTTGGCGGCTTATAAAGGTACAAAATAATACTAATTTGGGTTTACTATTGTTATAATCGTTATGCTTTTCAGACAAACAGTGTGGCAAGAACAAGATTGCTTGGTCAAAGCCGGTGAGAACCGACAAGACGTGGCAGAAGTTCCTTCACATACCCAACCATGGCGATGTGAAGGTGGTGGTCTGTGATAAGCATCGGGTTATTCGGCTGAACATTTATTATATAGCTCAGCAACTGGAGTTTTCGGTGAAGGACTTGCGATCGCGCCTAACCAAGCCAGAGAATAATTTGTTGCCAGCCGAGGAGCAAGAGCTGCTTGGATCAGAGCAGAAGTCATCTCAAGAGCAGGATCCCTTTCCGGACATGGTGGCCTGTGCTCACTTCAGTCAGGAATGCGAAACGAAGCTGCAGACCAGGATAAAGTTCTTCATCAAAAGCTTCGTGTTTAGCCTGCAAACGGACAACCGCGAAAATGACTATTTAAAGACCGAGGTGTGCAATATCTACGCCGACGACTTAATGGCGATCTACGACGACATATCCGATGATGACAAGGAGGATCGGAGGGAGCTGCGCTTGCAAGTGCCCAACCTGCAGGTGGACAACCAACTGTACTCCAGCGGAAAGTACGACTTTCCGGTGCTGCTTTGCGCAGAGGAACTCTACAAGCGCAATTGTGCCCTACCCCAAGTTTATTATTTGGATGCCGTCTACCAGCTGCAGCCACTACGTGCTCCAGTCTCTCTGTTCACGTTTGTGTTTTACCAGGATGAGATGCAGCTGCAGAGTGTTCGTTGCAAGATTCCCCCGTTCCGAGTCTATATCGAAGACGCCTACCTCAACCAGCTGCTGGAGGCACTCGTGGAATGTGAGCCGTCCAACTGTGTGTATAGTCCGGCTATAGAAGAGGATAGGATCCTCCTTTCTGCCGGGCAAACCCTGCTTCCCGACCAGGTTGTGGCCCAGTCGTTGTACATATCGGAGCCGCTGCGTCTCAATAGTTTTACGGTAGAGCCACTTAGTCTATTGCTTTCCGTCCATACTTCGTCGAGGCTGTACATAGCCTTAGATCATTCCCCGCTCTCCTTTTCCCGCTACGAGCGGCAGCAAATCCTCACAGTTCCTTTACGGTTCGGCCAATCCTTGGGCCTGCATTACCTCAGCGGAGCCATCTTCGGCGCTGGCTGGGTGGTTGGCTCCCTGGAGATCTTGGGCAGTCCTAGCGGACTCGCTCGCTCGTTTAGTACCGGTCTCCGTGACTTTGTATCCATGCCCGTGGAGGGACTCTTCCGCGGACCCTGGGGCTTCCTTGTGGGCGTGACCCAAGGCTCTGCCTCCCTGTTACGCAACGTGACTGCTGGAACCGTGAATTCCGTGACCAAGCTGGCCGGTTCAGTAGCCCGGAATCTGGACAGGCTGACTTTGGACGCAGAGCATATCGAGCTGACGGAGGCCAGGCGTCGGGCAAGACCCCAGGGCTTTGCGGATGGGCTGACACAAGGCCTGACTGGATTGGGCATCAGTTTATTGGGCGCCGTCGGCGGATTGGCACATCACACCTTGGAGGCGCGGAGTTCCGTAGGGTTTATTGCTGGCATCACCAAGGGCATTGTTGGAGCGTTCACAAAACCCATCAGTGGAGCTGCTGAGATGCTGGCTCTAACGGGCCAGGGTGTCCTCCATACGGTGGGTTTCAATGCGATGCCCCAACAGGTGGAGCCGAGTACTACGAGAAACGTGGCCCTGCATGGCAGTTCCTCGCGCATTTGGAGCTATCTCCCTGAGGAGTTAAGCCACGATCAGATGCTGTTCTTCTGTGAAATCACTCTGCTGGTCAACACACAGCTGCGTCCGGCTCTGGTGTTTCTCACCTCATCCGTTCTGGCCATTATGCAGCCAGACAGCGAGGATCTAACCTTCGCCTCCCCTGTTTCCAAGGTAGATGTAATGGCGGATCGAGAAGACCCATCGAAGCTCTACCTTAGCCTGAAATCTGAGCAGAAGGATGACCTAGAAGGGGTGAGTTGTTAATTATAATAACCTGCAAAAAGTTATAAAAACAGGCAATTTTGTTTAAAAATCAGTGTGTTTCAAACCAAAATTCCATACATTTTAATTCGGAAAGCTGTTATGTGTTAGTCTTTATAGCGCTAACAAATATGCATACTGCGTTTTGAACTTTAAAAAATTCCATTTTTGGTCGAATTTAGCAAATTTTAATGATGTAACCCCTTATGTTTTTTTCAAATTTCGGAAAAAAATGCAAACATTTATTTTGCCACTAGACATGACTAGATCGATTCAGCTGTTCATTCTGAACAATAATATATATGATTTATAGGGTCGGAAATGATTCCTTCATTGTGTTTTAAGCTTCTGATTAATACTAAGACCCAGCAAAAAGGTATAAAAGCCGGCAATTTTTGTAAAAATTCAGTGTTTTGCAAACATCATAATTATGCCAATAATGCGTTAATTTCAATTCGGAAAGCCGTCCTATGCTAGTCTTTATAGCGCTAACAAATCTGCATACTGCGTTTGTTGATGCTGGTTAAAGCTTCGGACTGAAATTATAATAACCAGAAAAAAGGTATAAAAACAGGCAATTTTTGTAAAAATTCAGTGTTTTGCTAACATCATAATTATGCCAATAATGCGTTAATTTCAATTCGGAAAGCCGTTCTGTGCTAGTCTTTATAGCGCTAACAAATCTGCATACTGCGTTTGTTGATGCTGTTAAAAGCTTCGGACTGAAATTATAATAACCAGAAAAAAGGTATAAAAACAGGCAATTTTTGTAAAAATTCAGTGTTTTGCAAACATCATAACTAAGCCAATAATGCGTTAATTTCAATTCGGAAAGCTGTTCTGTGCTAATTTTTAAAGCGCTAACAAATCTGCATACTGCGTTTGTTGATGCTGTTGAAAGCTTCGGACTGAAATTATAATAACCAGAAAAAAGGTATAAAAACAGGCCATTTTTGTAAAAATTCAGTGTTTTGCAAACATCATAACTAAGCCAATAACGCGTTAATTTCAATTCGGAAAGCTGTTCTGTGCTAATTTTTAAAGCGCTAACAAATCTGCATACTGCGTTTTGAAATTTAAAAAATTCAATTTTTGGTCGAATTTAGCAAATTTTAATGATGTAACCCCTTATGTTTTTTTCAAATTTCGGAAAAAAATGGAAACATTTATTTTGCCACTAGACATGGCTAGATCGATTCAGCTGTTCATTCTGAACAATAATATATATGATTTATAGGGTCGGAAATGATTCCTTCATTGTTTTAAGCTTCTGATTAATACTAAGACCCAGCAAAAAGGTATAAAAGCCGGCAATTTTTGTAAAAATTCAGTGTTTTGCAAACATCATAATTATGCCAATAATGCGTTAATTTCAATTCGGAAAGCCGTCCTATGCTAGTCTTTATAGCGCTAACAAATCTGCATACTGCGTTTGTTGATGCTGGTTAAAGCTTCGGACTGAAATTATAATAACCAGAAAAAAGGTATAAAAACAGGCAATTTTTGTAAAAATTCAGTGATTTGCAAACATCATAACTAAGCCAATAATGCGTTAATTTCAATTCGGAAAGCTGTTCTGTGCTAATTTTTAAAGCGCTAACAAATCTGCATACTGCGTTTTGAAATTTAAAAAATTCAATTTTTGGTCGAATTTAGCAAATTTTAATGATGTAACCCCTTATGTTTTTTTCAAATTTCGGAAAAAATGCAAACATTTATTTTGCCACTAGACATGGCTAGATCGATTCAGCTGTTCATTCTGAACAATAATATATATGATTTATAGGGTCGGAAATGATTCCTTCATTGTTTTAAGCTTCTGATTAATACTAAGACCCAGCAAAAAGGTATAAAAGCCGGCAATTTTTGTAAAAATTCAGTGTTTTGCAAACATCATAATTATGCCAATAATGCGTTAATTTCAATTCGGAAAGCCGTCCTATGCTAGTCTTTATAGCGCTAACAAATCTGCATACTGCGTTTGTTGATGCTGGTTAAAGCTTCGGACTGAAATTATAATAACCAGAAAAAAGGTATAAAAACAGGCAATTTTTGTAAAAATTCAGTGATTTGCAAACATCATAACTAAGCCAATAATGCGTTAATTTCAATTCGGAAAGCTGTTCTGTGCTAATTTTTAAAGCGCTAACAAATCTGCATACTGCGTTTTGAAATTTAAAAAATTCAATTTTTGGTCGAATTTAGCAAATTTTAATGATGTAACCCCTTATGTTTTTTTTCAAATTTCGGAAAAAAATGCAAACATTTGTTTTGCCACTAGACATGGCTAGATCGATTCAGCTGTTCATTCTGAACAATAATATATATGATTTATAGGGTCGGAAATGATTCCTTCATTGTGTTTTAAGCTTCTGATTAATACTAAGACCCTGCAAAAAGGTTTAAAAGCCGGCAATTTTTGTAAAAATTCAGTGTTTTGCAAACATCATAATTATGCCAATAATGCGTTAATTTCAATTCGGAAAGCCGTTCTGTGCTAGTCTTTATAGCGCTAACAAATCTGCATACTGCGTTTGTTGATGCTGTTAAAAGCTTCGGACTGAAATTATAATAACCAGAAAAAAGGTATAAAAACAGGCAATTTTTGTAAAAATTCAGTGTTTTGCAAACATCATAACTAAGCCAATAATGCGTTAATTTCAATTCGGAAAGCTGTTCTGTGCTAATTTTTAAAGCGCTAACAAATCTGCATACTGCGTTTGTTGATGCTGTTAAAAGCTTCGGACTGAAATTATAATAACCAGAAAAAAGGTATAAAAACAGGCAATTTTTGTAAAAATTCAGTGTTTTGCAAACATCATAACTAAGCCAATAATGCGTTAATTTCAATTCGGAAAGCTGTTCTGTGCTAATTTTTAAAGCGCTAACAAATCTGCATACTGCGTTTGTTGATGCTGTTAAAAGCTTCGGACTGAAATTATAATAACCAGAAAAAAGGTATAAAAACAGGCAATTTTTGTAAAAATTCAGTGTTTTGCAAACATCATAATTATGCCAATAATGCGTTAATTTCAATTCGGAAAGCCGTTCTGTGCTAGTCTTTATAGCGCTAACAAATCTGCATACTGCGTTTGTTGATGCTGGTTAAAGCTTCGGACTGAAATTATAATAACCAGAAAAAAGGTATAGAAACAGGCCATTTTTGTAAAAATTCAGTGATTTGCAAACATCATAATTATGCCAATAATGCGTTAATTTCAATTCGGAAAGCCGTTCTGTGCTAGTCTTTATAGCGCTAACAAATCTGCATACTGCGTTTGTTGATGCTGTTGAAAGCTTCGGACTGAAATTGTAATAACCAGAAAAAAGGTATAGAAACAGGCCATTTTTGTAAAAATTCAGTGATTTGCAAACATCATAATTATGCCAATAATGCGTTAATTTCAATTCGGAAAGCCGTTCTGTGCTAGTCTTTATAGCGCTAACAAATCTGCATACTGCGTTTGTTGATGCTGGTTAAAGCTTCGGACTGAAATTATAATAACCAGAAAAAAGGTATAGAAACAGGCCATTTTTGTAAAAATTCAGTGATTTGCAAACATCATAACTAAGCAAATAATGCGTTCATTTCAATTCGGAAAGCTGTTCTGTGCTAATTTTTTAAAGCGCTAACAAATCTGCATACTGCGTTTTGAAATTTAAAAAATTCAATTTTTGGTCGAATTTAGCAAATTTTAATGATGTAACCCCTTATGTTTTTCTCAAATTTCGGAAAAAAATGCAAACATTTATTTTGCCACTAGACATGGCTAGATCGATTCAGCTGTTCATTCTGAACAATAATATATATGATTTATAGGGTCGGAAATGATTCCTTCATTGTGTTTTAAGCTTCTGATTAATACTAAGACCCAGCAAAAAGGTATAAAAGCCGGCAATTTTTGTAAAAATTCAGTGTTTTGCAAACATCATAATTATGCCAATAATGCGTTAATTTCAATTCGGAAAGCCGTTCTGTGCTAGTCTTTATAGCGCTAACAAATCTGCATACTGCGTTTGTTGATGCTGTTAAAAGCTTCGGACTGAAATTATAATAACCAGAAAAAAGGTATAAAAACAGGCAATTTTGTAAAAATTCAGTGTTTTGCAAACATCATAATTATGCCAATAATGCGTTAATTTCAATTCGGAAAGCCGTTCTGTGCTAGACTTTATAGCGATAACAAATCTGCATAATGCGTTTGTTAATGCTGTTAAAAGCTTCGGATTGAAATTATAATAACCAGAAAAAAAGTATAAAAACAGGCAATTTTTGTAAAAATTCAGTGATTTGCAAACATCATAACTAAGCCAATAATGCGTTAATTTCAATTCGGAAAGCTGTTCTGTGCTAATTTTTAAAGCGCTAACAAATCTGCATACTGCGTTTTGAAATTTAAAAAATTCCATTTTTGGTCGAATTTAGCAAATTTTAATGATGTAACCCCTTATGTTTTTTTAAATTTCGGAAAAAAATGCAAACATTTATTTTGCCACTAGACATGGCTAGATCGATTCAGCTGTTCATTCTGAACAATAATATATATGATTTATAGGGTCGGAAATGATTCCTTCATTGTGTTTTAAGCTTCTGATTAATACTAAGACCCAGCAAAAAGGTATAAAAGCCGGCAATTTTTGTAAAAATTCAGTGTTTTGCAAACATCATAATTATGCCAATAATGCGTTAATTTCAATTCGGAAAGCCGTTCTGTGCTAGTCTTTATAGCGCTAACAAATCTGCATACTGCGTTTGTTGATGCTGTTGAAAGCTTCGGACTGAAATTATAATAACCAGAAAAAAGGTATAGAAACAGGCCATTTTTGTAAAAATTCAGTTATTTGCAAACATCATAACTAAGCAAATAATGCGTTCATTTCAATTCGGAAAGTTGTTCTGTGCTAATTTTTAAAGCGCTAACAAATCTGCATACTGCGTTTTGAAATTTAAAAAATTCAATTTTTGGTCGAATTTAGCAAATTTTAATGATGTAACCCCTTAT